GGCTCGTCTGGCTCATCTGGTGGCTACTCGGGCTTGCCTGTCCCATATGGTAGCTGCAGAGGCAGATGCGAACACGTTTCGGTCACGGTCAACATCGTTATCTACCAGTTCATCCACCCAGGCTACATTCAGACCATCACTCAGTCTGCCATTGGACATAACGTCACTTCTATTGCCTCCTCTCCTCCAGTAACAGGTCAGTCAGCTCTCTTCCCCTACTTTCTTGCTGTCTTGGCAACAGCGTTACCAGATCGGATAACCCAAATGATCCCTCCATTCTTGAGGTTGTCAATAGATTACATGCTAACATGCCTATAGTCACTACCACAATCACTTTGGTTGAAGGCGCTTCAGCCACCGCTCTTCCAGGTATCAACAATGGCACCATCATCTCAAACAACACCATGGTCCTTGACGACGCCACTGTCCTCAATAACGGCACGGTTCTCAGCGGCTCGAACCCGTCCTACAATGAAACAGCCCTCTACCCAAACACCACCCACCCAGCTGTCAAACCGATGCTCCCAGGATCGAACCCATCTGCCCCGGCATACGAAATGAAGCCCCTACCCCTACACAACGAGACCGTATCCGGAACAAACGGCACGAACACCGGGTCGAACGGTACTGATGTCGCTATAAACGGTCCTGTACCCCTTGACGAGACCACGAGCTCCACGACTTTGACGACTACCTCTCCTGCTTATCATCCATCTGCCACCGTGACTTCATCACTATCCCCGTCCCTTGCGACACTTTCCGCCGCCTCCGCCTCTGTTTCATCGTCCGCCTCCATCTCCTCGACAAGAACAGCCGATAGAAACGCCGGGAGGGCCTCCTCCTCCGCTGCTTCCAGCTCAGTCTCTCTACCCGCCAAGATCTATCCAATGAAATCAGCCGATCTAAAGGCCGAGACGGCCTTCCCCTCCGCTACCTCCAGATCAGTCTCTCCACCCGCCTCCACCTCCTCCCCAAAAACATCCGCTAGAAGAAACGCCTCGACCCCCTCTTCCTACCCTGCCCCCGCCGCCGCCGGCATCTCCTCCACAAAGAAAGACAACAGCAGCAAGCTCCGAACCCTCTCCCCTCCCTCTCCCAGATCCTCCTCCTCCGCCACCAAGGCCGCACCTGAATCCCCAGAACAGTACGCTGCCGTCCCCTTCCCCGCCATCACCGGCTCCAGCGCGCAGCTCGAAAAGATTTAAGAGCGCGACCATGTCTTCGTCGCCGCCGGCGGTCAACACACCATCGGTCGCTTGGGCTTGAGCCGCTGCTGTGTTTGAGCGACATGAGATGAGATGAGTGGATCGCATTTTGCCATTCTGATTTTTTTTTTTTTTTTTTTTGGGAGGGGTTCTGTTTTTGTTTTTGGTTGTTTCTGGGGAAGGGGTTTTTTTTTTCTTCCTTTTCTTTTTGTCTCTTTGTCTTTTTTCCTCACTCTTTTTTTTTCCTCACTCTTTCTTTTCCCTCACTCTTTCTTTCCTCACTCTTTTTCTTTTTTCTTTTTTTCTTTTGTCTGGTTGAATGAGCGAATGAATGAATGACTGAACGAACGAACGAACGAACGAACGAATGACAAACTGGGAACACGGGTTATGCAAAAGGAAAGGGAGAAGGAAAAAAGAAAAAGAAAGAAACAAACTTGAAAAAAAAAAAAAATTCCTTTTCGGCTGGCTGGTTGGGAATCTGGGATTGCGCGCTTTTTTTTGGGGCGGGGGGGCAGGCAAAGGGACAAGGGATATCATATCACGGCCGCGCGCGATGGAAGGAAGAAAGGAAGAAAGAGGGAGCAAGAGAGAAAGAAAGAAAGAAAGAAGGATGACGACTGTGCACCTACCCATGTAGCTAGCTAGATGACGAGCCATAGAGCACGCATCAAAATCAAAGCTCCAGTCTCGCTATTCTTGATCGTACATACATGTGATGTGCTCTTGTTACCTCCGTGACACTTTGCCAGCCGGTTTGCGGACTTGTAGTCTTGATGGGCGAATTCAAGTAAGTCAGTCAGTGAGTAAGTGAGTAAGTAAGTAGATCAGTCAGTAAATAAGGTAGGCAAGAAAGAGCGCGGGGGTTTGGTTTGGTCTGGTTTGGTTGGGTTTGGTTTAAGCGAGTCGCTGGTTCAGGCAGACTGCGCGCGCATCGTACCTAGCAGCCGCGCTAACTAACCTCAAGGTAAGCAAACGTCACAATAAACAATGCTGGAGATGAAAGGGTGGACGGAGGAGAGGAGAAGAGAAGAGGAAGGGGTCTTGGGAAGCAGCTTCGGATGTTGAAAGAATGCTCTGCGGGGAGGAAAATTCATCAATCATGTTTATCGGAAGGAAGAGAATAGTGTGTACTGTATGTCAAGGTGTTTTGTTTGGATTGATCGATTTGGTTTGGTCTGCATGTCTGTCAAAGTAAAAAAGATCTAGCTATCGAGCGCCATGAGATGGATCTCTCACCAAATCAAACTCGCAACGACTCAACGAAAGGCTCTTTTCTTGACGGGATAATCCGCAGCGCACCTCAGCGTATCGCAAGATGACCGTGTATGCAGAGGAGAGAAGGAGAAGAGAAGCTCGTGGTTGCAAAGAAATCCATGTACCGCTGCTCTCGATGCAAACCATACAGGTCGATCGATCGATTGCCCTAGCACGTCCTAGCACTCCCCGCGGGGTATTCTTCTTCCTTCTTTTCTATCGAAAAGATATACCACTGCTGAACAGGGTCATGTTGAAGAAGAGGACGGGCGCAGAGTAGATGTGCGAGATCTGAGTCCCATTCTCGTGCAGGCGGTCCTCGCGGCTGGGCTTGCCCGCGGGCACCACCTCATCGGTCTTGTTGCTGCAGTATTGGACCAGGGATGAGACGACCATCTCGGGGAGCGGAAGGCGGTAGAAGGGCTGGGGCAGGGAGCGGGCGATGCATCGAGTACAGACCTTGGCGGACTCCAACCATCTAGTTCAAATTGTTAGTAGGCCTATCAGGGGTTTTGTTGTTTGTTGGGTGCGGGAGAGAGAGAGAGAGAAGAGAGAGATAGGAGAGAGAGAGGAGAGAATACATACTCTTTGTAGTGTAGATCGCAGAGCATAAACCAGGTTCGGTTGTTAGCCATGGAGCTAGTGTAGATGAAGCCGGCCTTGTGGCAGATGTTGGAAGCTAGTTTCAACCGTCAGAACGAGATGGATTCGATCTAAGTTCAAGGGAGGGAGGGGAGGTCTTATTTATGCTTACAGACGCAGGATCTGACGAGGTGGTTTTCAGGGCTGCCAAGAAGCATGTACGGGTAGTGTCGCTTGGAAAGGCGCGGGCGAAGCTGTACTCCCGTACCAGGCTCAGATTTGAACACATCCAAAGACTTCGAGGTAGAAGTTGGCATAGGAGTTGCGGAGAAGCTTGGGACAGTAGACCATGTAATCTCAACCAAGGATTCCGAGGTAGGTGTAGGGAACGGAGACGCAGAGAAGCTTGGGACAGTAGACCATGTAATCTCAACCAAGGATTCCGACGTAGGTGTAGGGAACGGAGATGCAGAGAAGCTTGGGACAGTAGACCACGTAATCTCAACCAAGGACACCGAAGTAGAAGTAGGCATAGGAATCGCAGAGAAGCTTGGAACGGTCGACCATGTGATCTCTACCAAGGACTCCATGGATGTTGGTCGGCTATCCAGTTGTGACAGTGTGCCTACATGAGGAAGGCATGGAGGCTGCGAGACGGTGACTAGGGTCGAGGGATGTGTAAAGTTGAAGATTGGATGGGGACGTGTGTGGTTGGAGCTTCGATGAGAACGAGAGGCGGAGGCGGTACGGATGAGAGTCTCATTGGCGCTGTTGCCGTCAGTCAGAGATACTAAATATTGAGATAGTGAGACCATAGGAGACTTACATAGTAGCCTGGGTCACATCCCGACGCTTCTTATCTGGCAGGACGGCTTCTGGGAGAGTGAGAGGGAAATGCTTGGCGTTGGCAACCTCCTTGATCTTTCGGGTGAAGTCCACCGTATTCAAAGTGTTCTTACAAAAGCCGACCGAGCTGCTTGATGATCCGGTGAGAGCATCCACTTGCATGTAGAAGGGCTGGCCTGGACCTTGGTTGCCAACGACCATCTCAATACAGATGATGCAGGACTTGAGTCTAAGTGGCAGTGATAGAGTCCCGTCAGTGAATCTCTTTGAGGTTGCCAGGGGGATATATCATCAGCTTACCTCGAGAACCAGTCAGGGTGCGATGGCATAGCGCGACTAGGAGGGCAGAGGCAGGATCGGGCGAAGGACGAAGGGTCAAGTGGCATGTCAACGGTATAAGCAAGTTGACAATCGGACCAGTAAGTTGCGGCTGCAGTACAATCAGGGCCGCCTGCAGAACATTGTTAGCTTATAGGAACTCGAAAGTGAGAGAGCAGTCGGGAAATCGTACCAGCACATCCTGGGACGGTGAGCGTTGTGTCAATAACCTGACGCGCCTTAACTCCTTGACTGAGCTCGGAGGCGGCCGAGACCAGACAGATCGAAACTGCAAGCAGCAGCAACGAGATGAGAGTGGTGGCCTTCATGATAAAGTCCTTGATTCAAGTCGGTTTATGTGAAGTAGATACGGTAGGAAGAAGTTGTTGATGGAGGAGGATTGACCAAGTTGTTAGGTGGTCGGGAGAAGTTGGGGAGAAGTTGGGGAGAAGAGAAGCTCGGACGGAGAGGAGGTTTATATATGACCTCGCAGCCTCGTTAAAATACTAGCCAACCAAGTCGGGCCAGATTGGAATCTCTTCTTTGTTCTTGTTGGCCAAATCTGCCTTAGCCTTGGCCAGGTGAATTGAAGGTGAATTGAACAAGGCTGTGCCGATCTCTCTCTGGTAGGCCGAATGCGGACAGCTACGACCAGATAAAGCTTCTATAAATTCTAAGAATGGAGGTAGCAATCCACAGCATATCAAAAGACTATCCAGCCGGACGATGGGTGGCTGTAATGAGTATTGCTATCAAGTCTCTCTAGAGCAGAAAAGTCATTTGAAGACCGCCATGCCTGCCGGCCTCACTTGGAATAAGATCACTGATTTGGGTATAAGGTATATTCGAAGCGCTATGTATGTTGTGATCAATATCCCCCTATCCTTCCACATCTGGCTTGTACGCCTGGTGGCGTCGGCGATGGAAACTGGCATCAATACATCTTCACTGCAGCCTGATGCAGCTTGTGATGACCATGTTGAATTGGCTGAAGAGCAGTAGAAAGAGAGCACTCTGTATGCCTGAGAACTGTTATACCTACAGCATCCATATTGCAATGCAAGAATTGACACCGCTGGGCCATGATCAATCGAGACTCGAGAGCGCATGATTTCGAGCAGAAGGAAGCCAAATCTAACCAAAGCCCTTACAAACCAAACAGATTAGCAATGAGACAACAAAAATGAGGAATTGGAGTAACGCGTGTCTTGCTGCCATGGCCCGTCTCTGCCATGCAAGGTAGGAACTGGAGACAAGTTACGGCTTGCTTCTCCTCCATCACGGTACGAGATATTCTCTGGGTGCACAGATGCCTTGAACTCACCTTCGATGTCTCCCTCCCTGGTACCACCGCCAATATTTGCCAATGGCTCGGTTCTGAAGCATGCCATGGGCGAGGATCGACAAGTGTTAGACCGAGGTCTGGGGCTTTTGCAGGAGAAGTATCGGTAGTATGGGGTTGGGTAGATGTCTCTTGCAAGTTTGCAACCGCCCCCGAATTGGACATCCGAAATAAAGCCGAATAGAAAGTACAGATCCATTCCGAAGGTGGCGTGTCACGCTGTGGGATTTGAAGACAAACGGCGCTAGTGATCGATGTCGATGATGTTCTCTGTTGCCGACATGAAGATGGAACCGTTGGTAAACATATCTATCTGCCTCGAGTGTCAACCGGAGCAAAGAATAGGTAGCAACTGGGCGTTACGATCAATCATATCTAATACTCTGCCATATCCATAACCAACTCAAAGTGGGAAAGAATTCCATAGCACGCCTGCGTCAACCAGCGCGAAAAAGCCATACAGCGACCTCACCTCATCCCCTTAACAACCCCAATCACCTTTCCAAAAATCCCACCCCAACCCCAACTAAACCCCCCAGAAACACAATGGCATAATCTCCATATAACACCAATCCTCACCCATATCCCACTCGCCGACATCGCGTAACCAAAGCCCGTACAATCCCCTAATATCACAAACCGCGAATCTCGCCTCTCTTCTCCTCTTAGGTCGGACCCAGAAAATCCTTAGAAAGTCCAGATCCTTCCTTAGCTTAGCCCCGAGACTAGAAAATAATTACCTAGCTAGGTCATGTAACCAAAATGCGATACCGAGCTTTCGCCCTCACCAGGCAACCTACCTCAATTTGGCTCAGTTGGTAAAACCTCCTGAGTAACCGCCGAACAGCAGAATATTCCAGGACCCCCTCAACAATATAAGGATTCCTTACTACGAAATCAAAAGAACGCCCCGAAACTCGACTTCCAGACAACGCATTCACTCTTAAGACCCCAACATGTAAGGACTCCTCACTAGGTAATCAAAAGAACGCCAAAATTCGAACTTCGGAATAATGTACTCAATTACATTTGTAATTCAGGACCCTCCGGGTTCCTGGGTGAGTTTTGCTACATTTTTTTTATCATTATTATATACATACATATAAATGTATATATATATTTTGGGGAACGCGTACCGCTATCAATTCAAGCCTCGACGTCTTCGAACGATGAAGGTAGCTAGCTAGCTGAAAAGGATTCCAAGTAGAAGCTTAAGAACGAAGATGATTACACGGAAATATAAAGAATAAGAATTAGAAAATGACAACTTGAAATAGAGGGGGAAAATCGACTTGTAAGTAATTAAAATATTGTTTTCAGCGTCGATACCACCTAGAAAAGCCCAACTCGCTATCAGCTTACTCGCTATCAGGTTGAAATCTATTGATAAAAAATAATATCCGATTTCACATCCCACCGACGTGACGTCATGAAGTATGCCCTGGGTATTTGTAAACGCCATACACAAAATACGCCGACGAACCCTGCCAAATAAAACAATTTCCCTCTTATTACACTCAACGACCTCGGTGGAGATCGTTCATTTGTTGATAGAAATCCCGGTCGTCTTGACTAGGACGCTGATACTCGGAGCCAGGAGATCGGATCGACCCTCTATCCCGTGCTGCCTGAGCTTCGGCTCTATGAAGTTCCTCTTGCTCTCTTCGGCGTTCCATCTCGGCATTCAGCATGCGCTCCTGATCGGTCATGTGTCTCGGAACACCCATTCTCGGACCAGGTGTATGTGGAGAATAACCTGGGTGTGCCGACGTGGGCGCAGATGATGGACCAGAAGGCTGATATCGACTATCGAAACTGGCATGTCTTGAGTATTGCGTAGGCGGGCTGGGTACATGAGAGTTCTGGCCGCCGAAGGCAAGCTGACGATGATTGGCTGGCTGGGTTTGTTGAGGTTGCGTCTGATAAGATGGCCCAAGCCGAGGCGATGCGGCTGGATGGTGTTGCTGCTGCTGCATAAAATAGCCAGATTGCGGTTGGCGTTGGTAATAATCTCGTTGGTCGGCAGAGATATCACGAGGCGAGCCAGCAGTTTGACGGATGCCCTGAGATGCTTGTGGTGGAGGAGTCGCCGAATATGGGGAATCCTTCAATCGCATACCAGGTTGAGAAGGAGCTGCGGAGCGAGGGTATCCACCAGAGGCCGACATGCCATGCAGGTCACCAAGCGACGGCTCTCGACGGACTTGTGCAGGCTGGGAGGTCATCGACTGACGAGCGGGTGGCTGGGAATACATTTGCGGCGGCTGTTGCTGCTGCATTTGCTGTTGACCGTAGCCAGGACGACCATCGAAACTTGTAGGGGTGTAGCTTCGTCCCAACGACGACGAGTGTTGGTGCAAGTGGTGTGGGGTAGGCTGTGCAAAGGTGTGTGGTGAAGCATGGACCTGCTGCTGAGCTGGAGGTTGAGATGCCATTGACTGGGCCATGTGAGGATGTGGCTGAGAAGTGCCCTGTAACGGCTGAGAAGAGTATCGGGAAGGATGTATTTGGTGTTGTGGCGGTGGAGTGCGCGTTGGCTGGTGAGAAGAACTCGAGACATCACTGACTCGCTTTGCAGGAGTTGGTCGAGGATCACTCGGTTCGTCGTTGAGTAGTGACATGATATTCGATTTCCTAGCTGGCTCCGGTTGCCGAGTTGCTGCCACGGGGGCCTGTTGTGGGGGACCTTGAGCATTCTGCTGAGGGACTGAAGGGGGTGCTGAGTAAATCTCTTGGTTTGCGGGTGGCGCACTCATAGGCGGGCGAGGAGCAGCAAGTATAGGAGTCGACTGATTCTCACGAGCACCAAGAACATCACCGGGGAATGACCGCACGATCTGACTGCCACGAGGTTGATACTGCTGGGGTGTATGCTGAGGTGGATGGGACTGGTGTTGGGGAGGCGCAGTTCGCCGGACCTCAGAGGGCAGAGGAACAATTTGCTGCGGAAGTTCTGATCTTTGTTGAGGCGCAATACCACTGACCATAGATGGGGTCGAGTAAGCCTCATACTGGTGCGGATTTGATGTCTCATTCTCTTGCTTCATGTGAAATTGGCGATCTCGATGAATATTTTGCTGCGGTTGCATGACTTGTTGGTCACGTTGCTGCGGTTGCATCGCTTGTTGATCGCGTTGCTGCATCATCAGCCGTTGATCTCTCTGCATTTGGTTTTCTCTCAGTTGTGTAGCCTCTCTCAGTTGAGTAGCTTCTCTCAGTTGAGTAGCTTCTCTCAGTTGTGTAGCCTCTCTCAGTTGTGTAGCCTCTCTCAGTTGTGTAGCCTCTCTCAGTTGTGTAGCCTCTCTCAGTTGGGTAGCCTCTCTCAGTTGTGTAGCCTCTCTCAGTTGTGTAGCCTCTCTCTGCTGGAGAAGCTCTCTCTGGGCTTGCTGATCTCGTTGTTGCTGCTGCTCTTTTTGCTTCTTCAGTGCAGTCTGTCTCTCGATTTCAGCATCTTGAGCGGCCATGAGGGAGCGCTGAGACAGAGTGGCATCGGCTTGAATAATAGGTCGGGGATTGTCCGTTGAGAAGTATCCCATGGCGGGTCCTCTTGGGGGCCGAGGTTGCTGCTGTATATGTTGCTGTATCTGCTGAGGAGCCTGCTGAGGAGCCTGCTGAGGAGCCTGCTGAGGAGCCTGCTGAGTAGCTTGCTGAGGAGCTTGCTGAGGAGCCTTTTGGGGGGCTTGTTGGGGGGCTTGCTGAGGAGCTTGCTGAGGAGCCTTCTGGGGGGCTTGTTGGGGGGCTTGTTGGGGGGCTTGTTGAATGGGCTGAGGAGTCAAGTGCTTAGTGAAAATAGTCGAGGTAGATGTGGCGGGTTGGATCTGAGTGGCTATCTTGGCCATGGCCAATGTAGGAAAATGGCTTCCCGTGCTTGACTTAGCCGGAGAAACTTGAGGCATCAAGGTACTCTGGCCAGAAGGGATCATGTCTTCGCCCTGATCAACCGCAGATGCCGATCTAGAAATTCCGCCAGGAGTGACTTCATATCGTCTCTTCGTCGGGTAAACCGTAGGTGTCGGAAGAGGATCGGTGGGTTCATGCCGATCCCGCTTCTCATCTGCCTCCTTGGCTAATGCCTCCCAATCTCTCTTGCCTGAGTCCACCTGACGTTGGTAATAGTTCTTGACCTGTGTCTGGATATTAGCGACACGTTTACTCTTTTCGATGCCCAAAGGGACAGCAGGGTATAGTTTAAAAGATGTTTGATGCATACCATTATGTGAGTTTTGGATGTCATCCATTTCGCGATCCCATGCCAATCAGTGCCAAAGTGTCTCAATAACGCAGGAAAATCGTTTTGCTCAGGAACACTCCAATAACTTGATGTCTGTTGGATATTTCTGCGCTCTTGTTGAGCATCGAAGCTTGACGGTGGAGCCGACTCGAAACGTTCTTGGGGGGTGGGAAATTGCTGTGGCGCATTCTCAAAAGTTATCGTCCCCATGGACGTTGGTCTATCCATTACCGGAGGTGATGGGAATGGAGCATTGAAATTGAGAGACAAGTTCTGACTTGGTCCGGGGCCATCATATTGAGGGGGATACTGAGGAAGAGGAGGTCCGCTAGGCTCGCGACGACCCCATGGTGTCGGTGGGACAGAAGTAGCTGGAGACTCTGCTCGGCGACTGGCAGCTACAACGGATGGAGCGGCGGCAAGCAGTTGACTGTTCTTAGCTTGTTTTGTGCTCTTTTCGCGACCAGCTCGAGCCTTTTTCTTGGTAGGGGGGGCATCATTGCTCATGTCGCCCTTTGGCACAGCAGCAGATTTTCGTCCCGGGGTTGGCGCTGGGCTGGCAACCTCGCTTTCACTAGCTAGAGTCTCCGAGTTGAAAGTCGGTGCTGCAGCTCTGCGAGGGCGTCCTCGTTTCTCTCCATTGTCGCCATCTGGACCGTCCTCCGCTTCCTCTCGATTCTGACCAATGTCAGCCATAAGAACGTTGGCCTTCGGGTTCTTGGCCTTAGTTGTTCTGCTCTTTCGCTTCTTTGGCTGCTTCTTCAGCTTTTCCTTCAAGTTCGAGCTGTGCTTGACAAGATAATAGTGCTGAATGCAAGCCTTATAGTCTCTTCTCGGCAGCGCAGCTGCGATCTTGCTCCACTGTTTCGGAAACTCCAAGTAGACCTTCTCAAAAATTCCAGATTCCTCCTCGGTGAAGTTATCAATTGGCTCCCCAAATTCCAAGACCGCAAATGATCTCTCGAATGAAACCAGATGAGTCTTATCAATGAATCGCATGCCTTTTCGTTCCTCTTCATCCCAGGCACAATCTGGAATGGTAGCTTCCTTGGCACTAGCGGTCTTTGCTCTAGCAGCTCGGCTCTCCTTTTCCTTGGATTCTTTTGCCTCCAGTGCAGACTCTTGAAGAACTCTTTCAATATCGGCCTCTGTCGCAAAGCGGCCACGGCGAGTTCCCTCAGGTTTTGATCCGGCAGAGGGCTCCAACAAAGCCTGCTGAGCTGCAGCCTCATCAGCAGCGTCCTTGGCTCTCGCTTTCGCAAATTTCTCTCTGCTGCGCACTGCAATTGGATCTTCTGAAAAGTCTGTCCACATGCGGTATTTTAAGTACAGCTCGCCCCACCTCTTACGAGCTGCTTCTTGCTCTTCTTTCTTGCGGTTTTTATCCGAGACTAGCTTCTGCCTGATCCGCGCGTTGACTACCGGATTGGGTTCCAGCGTCTTGAGAAACTCGTAGTTTTCGGACCATTTCAAGATGACGCCAAAGTCAGGCAGGCTAGAGATTGGCGGCGTCTTCATTCGAGGCCGAACAGATTCAAGAACAGCTTCGAGTACTTCCGCATTCTCTGCCTCTGTCATTTCACCCTCACTCTCCGAGAATATGTCTATGGGGACAGATCTCTTGGCTGTAATATTGCTTATGGGCTTTGCAATGGCTTTAGGCTGCAGTTGTTCAGCCCGAGCACCCAAAGCCTGCTCGATCGATCGAATGGGGGCTATTGGCTGCGCTATGGGTGGTTCTGGTTGCTCTACACTGGGAAGTGGAGTCTTTGAGGATGCAAATGGCCCAGGCGTAAGTGCAAATGTGTCTTTCGGGCTGGTTTTGGCAGTTTCAGCGCTCTTCGGCTCAATTAGTGGTGTAGAAGGGCGAGTTCTACCAGTCGGCTTGACGTTCGAAACCATTGCTGGCGTTGAAGACCTGCTCCTATTTGGCTCCTTCTGCTTTGATGGAACAGGTGGGACTGGTGCAGCTGACTGAGGTGTGGCTTCTTCAACCTTGACTTCCACAGGAATGCATGCATCAGCTGGTGTTGATGTTGTTGCCTCGACCAGTTTATCAATTGTGTACTCAATAAATGGCTTGAGCAGGACCGCCGGTGGCTCCGGACGAGGATTCAATGGGTTCTCCGAGTTAACTCTGGTCATCTCTGCGTCGATCTTGGCAATTTCTTCCACAAAATAACCATCACTAAGTTCATCTTCAGATTCCGAGTCGGAAGCTTCTTGAGTGGCCTCAGGATGTGGTGGAGGTACCACAACACGCTTTCCTATTATAGGGTGGCGCGGAACACGGGGGACAGGCTTTTGTTGAGCAGGAACTACTGATTGAATTGCAGGCCGAATCTCTCGAATTGGGCTGGCGACATTGTCGGATAGATTAGCCGTTGGCATGCTCTCCCGAGGAATCTCATTGTCCTTCGAAGGTAGAGCACTTTGAGGACCGCCTTCAGGGGCCAGATTTAATTGTAAAGCCTGGCTAGGAGGATCTTTTCTCACAGTAGCATCTGCATGCCGTGGGGCAGAGCTGGCAACTTGATGAACAATTCTTGTAACGATTCTCTGCAAGCGGGGAGCAGTCGGCACAGCAACCCCTGGAACTGGTCCTGATGTAATAGGGGCAGAAGTTAGGGGCATAGCCAGATTTGCCGAGGATCCAAATGCTGGAACTTGTGGAGGTGGTGTAGCTGAAGGCCGAGATCGCCGATAGACAGGGGTAGGCGACCGACTTCTAGAATCAACTTTGTGGAAACCTTCTTCGTAGAAATTTCCTCTCCCTCGCGGTCGTCCAGCTCGAGAAGCTCTACCATAGCCGCGACCAAAGGAATGAGAATGATTTGAATCCGAGGCAGGAGAACCACCACAGAGCGGTCCATCTCTTGATCCTCTCAGAGCACGATCAATATCCACGGCCAGAGGCCCGTCTCTGCTGTCTCGTGGTCCATAGGTTGGCGAACGTGCCCTGCCCAGGGGTGGTGATGCTCGGCGACCTCCTCTGATCACCTCCCGTCCAGCCCACCGCTCAACTCGGCCTCCTCTATCTTCACGAAATGATTGTTGTCTTTCGTCTCTTCTGTCTCTGTATTCTCGGTCGGGTTCACGTCCTCTGTCACGACTATCGTCCCACCATCCTCGGCCTCTTCCACGTCCTCGATCGCCTCTGAACTCGCCTCGATACCCGCCGAAATCGCCCCGAAACTCAGAATGACTGGATGAGCGCGGGCCTGTTGGAGCGTCGGGGTAGTTTTTGGGACCTCGTGGTGGATCTCGGGCGAGGTCTCGGCTCGTAGGCTCTCTGAATAACTCCCTGTTTGCATTGAATGAGTTGTAGTTCATTTTGCCATCAGGAATTGAGCGTCTCCTCTCGCTACCACGCAGCGCACCGCCTCTGCCGAACCCATCATTGTAGCGTGGCCCTGGAGATGGGTCGCGTGGTGAGCGTCGGGAGTCGCCATCGTCGTAATTCTGGTATCTCTGACGGATTTGTCAGCTTTGAGGGAGAGAACAGGTCTCCTTGCCACTCACATTCATAATTTCGGGCGATGGCCCAGAGTAGAGGCGGCTTGCTGATAGTAGGAGCGAGCCAGGTCTGTAAATTCAGACCGCGCGAGTGGCGTCAATTTTAGTGTAGAAAGCGTCAAGTCGTCAAATCATCAAGTCGTCAGTCATCAGCCCTGGCGTTGCAGAGATCTATAATAGCTCGAGTGAGGCAGATGCATGGAGTTGCAGTTGATCACTGAAGTGACACTGCTGCAAAGATCTGAGAGCGATATAGAGATTGAGGTTGAGGTACAGAAAGGATGAGATGTGGTGAAAAGGCTCGAGTTCGCGATCTCGAATTCGAATGGGCCTAGCGCCAGTCGAGCCTAGCCCCCTGCACCAACCCGTATGAGCCGCACACTAGCCACAGCCGCCGTATCGCGCTTAATTTTTAATGGGGCATCAGTATTTTCAGATCCAACATCATGGTCACTCAACGGAAACTCAAATCTTGAATTTTAGTATCAAAATATCTTGAAAAGACGGGATACTCGGGGTCTGCATTACAATCCCGAATTCTGAACTCATTACGTTATTTTTCTGGAGATATTATTTTGCTCAGGTGTTATTAAGCCAAGCCTTACAGCAAACTCACTCGTCCAGCCTGGACTCTTTGAAGGTAAGTTGGAGGGATTCCGAAAAAGAAACAAGAAAAGTTAGCGCTGTCTCCAGTCTCCGCGTCAACATTGCCCTTGAAGAGTTAAGATAGTTTTAAAACAGGGCCGGATACTCCTACAAAGCTAGGGAAGGTCCCTGACCAATTTGTTGCTTTCATTTCTCCATCACGGACATCACTTCGAACAAGTTGGAGAAGACAACAAAAAGCAAGAATTCTCCGCTTCTTTCTACAAGGCAAAGGAAGGAAATAAAACAGCAGAATCACCTCCATAGGTAGCAGCTATCAGGCCTACTTCTCCACAGGTCGTCAGCATGACAGGTCAACTAGAACAAGCTGGTGCTCCGCCATCCACAGTCACCGATGCCGTTCTCGTCCCCTCAAACGATATGCCAGAGGGCTCTCAGAAAGTCGAAGAGCTTGATTTTAATAAGTTTGCCGGCCGTCCGATCACCGTAGATGATCTTATGAGTGGTATGAACCACATGGGATTCCAAGCGAGTTCGATAGGAGAGGCTGTTCGGATTATCAACAACATGGTATGTTCATCTGTAATGTTAGGCTTTTGATCTATTTCTAGGCAATGGGCAAGTCAAGACCCGCGAGACAGCTGCTTTCGTTTTCGTGCTCCCAGCTTTCTTTTTTCTGCGACACTTAGCTCCTCCTCTCTATGAACTCACCATCTTCCCTTCTCCTTTTTCTTCTTTTCCGAACTATATCACAAAATACCTCACCCCAAAATTTGTTCATCCATGAGCTCGTCTTTTCGGGCTGTTCTTTCCACTCATCAGACTGTCCATCGCCCTCTCTTTAAAGAGTCTAAAATATCATCTCTCTCTTCACAGGCTCTACCTTCTACCCTCACAATACCCCCCCGTTAAGCTCTCTTATTCCCAATACCATTCTTTAACACCACCCCTCCTTCCCAGCGCACCTGGTCCGACCCCCTCGATCCCTCCGCAAAAACCACCATATTCCTCGGCTATACCAGCAACCTAATCTCCTCCGGCCTCCGCGGAACCCTCCGCTACCTCACGCAACACGCTCACATTTCCGCCATCGTGACCACCGCCGGCGGGATCGAAGAAGATCTCATAAAGTGTCTAGGCGATACCTACATGGGCTCCTTCTCGACCTCGGGTGCCTCGCTGCGCGCCAAGGGTCTAAACAGAATCGGTAACCTCATCGTCCCCAACAATAACTACTGCCTGTTCGAAGACTGGGTCGTGCCCATCCTCGACGCCATGCTCGCCGAGCAGGAAGCCTCCAAAGGCCCCGGCAAGAAGCCCGAGGACGAGCTGAGCTGGACCCCGAGTAAGATCATCCGTAGGCTGGGCAAAGAGATCAACGACGAGAGGAGCGTGTACTACTGGGCGTATAAGAATGACATCCCGGTCTTCTGCCCCGCGCTCACCGACGGCAGTTTGGGCGATATGCTGTACTTCCACACCTTCAAGGCCTCTCCCTTACAGCTGAAGGTTGATATCGTAGAGGATATCCGCAAGATCAACACCATTGCTGTGAGAGCGAAGCGGGCAGGCATGATTATTCTCGGTGGGGGAATTGTGAAGCATCATATTGCCAATGCGTGCTTGATGCGCAATGGGGCCGAGAGCGCCGTGTATATCAACACGGCGCAGGAATTCGATGGCAGTGATGCTGGCGCTAGGCCGGACGAAGCAGTCAGCTGGGGGAAGATCAAGGTGGGGGCTGATGCTGTCAAGGTAAGCATTTCACACCTTATCATGAGCCGACGGTTTTGAAAGAGTAGACTTGATTCTGACGATGGCACAGGTGTATGTGGAGGCTACGGCCTGCTTCCCTCTGATCGTTGCGGCGACCTTCGCCAAGGATGCAAGCAAACCTAAAGAAACAGACGAGACAACTGCAAGTGCATTAGTAGGAGAAGAAACAACAACGGAACAGGTCAGAAAAGAAACCTTGCAATAACAAATGAAAAACCCATGTCGTTGCGAAGTAAGAAGTATGATGTCCAAGTCGATTGTGTCTTTGCCCATTGGGGTTTTGTTAGAGTGATCAAGAGTGCCAGGCAGTTTGCATGCTTACCCAGAGGCGCTCTCCGTTTTGATCATCTTTGCGGACGCTTCCACTTCAGCTTGTCGTACAGTACTAGCGATGTTATTGTTGGATCGCCGGTAGCGATATGTCATGAATATTCGTAACGTCGTAAATGTACTTGCAATTGCAAAACACTTGGTAAATATGGTATTCGATTTCTGTGTGTTCCCCAACATTCAGGGGTGCTGACTCCTATCCGATCATAAGCAGTCACGTGCACTAGCTATATAATAGTCTTTCTAGTCAAGTTGGGGGTTCCCTGAAGCGCGTGCCACGCTAAGCAAGGTATGCTCATCGGTACCTGAGATACCCGAATGGGCCACATCACCCCCAACTACTACTAACTACCTCGGGTCGATATGGATGTACCGACAGTTATAATGCATAAAACCTCTTTACGCACCAGAACTGAGGGTTATCACTTCGAAGAAATTCAACATTAGCCGGAGTTTTTTGATTCCACATCTAAGGAAGTTATTAATTAAACATTAAGCTTACATCTACTTATTTGATAGATGTACTTGTACTACGTAGATGTAGAAGATAAGAGCTAAAGTCGCCCCCATTGCTAAAACCTCTTTTAAAATTAAGAGAAAATCAATTTTCTATAATTCTGCTTTGAGTAACCCTCTTGAAGACTTAAGCCATTCGTTTTTAGTAAAAGGTGGAGCTAGAAATAAAAACGCAAGTTAAGAGCTGGTCACATGTTTCGCTTGGCATTTAAGGGGCTCGCTAGGAGCTTTGACCAGCGTTCTCTTCTACCGGTACTTCAGTTGTTCACACTGAGCTTCCTACGGAGTAGGCAACCAGACACTTCTCTCAACTCGCTCTGAAAGCCTCGTCCAGTGCTCCCTCCTTCAGCCAGATCTCGCGCGTTGAAAGGTTTATCAATTTACTTATGTTTCAAAGCTTATAATAGTAAACTTATAATAGTAAAAAGTGTAAGCTCCCAGATACACAGAGTTGTTGTTTTTGTTGTATTTATTAACATCGGGCAGGTGGCAGGCGGAGCCTATCGCCCTAGGATCTCCCACAAGGCACGGCGACGTGCTAGGCTAAGGAGATCATACAAGAAAGTCTTAGAAAGCAGTTCAAAGGTATAGCAAGGCTGCTATCGTCTGCGCCTTGCCCTTACAGATAGGATGGGTCACAGTCAGAGGAAGCTCTCGTCAAGGAAAGAAAACTAAAGGAGCAAGGCAGAGACTGCCGTAGCTAGCTTGGAAGTGTAGCGTCGTCAGGGTCGAGCAACGACTAATGTCGAGGCCGGACTGAGGCCAGCCATGGTAGTACACAGTGGTTCACCAGCAAGCATGCAGAGTTTTGGTGCGAAATAAGCGTTTATGCATTATCTAGTATCGCTGATGTTTTCCAAATATGCTAACGCGTCTCTGGCGACTTCCGCCAAGGAGAGCCTCGCTAACATCGAAACGGCGTCATGCTTCTCGAAATCCACCGCCTCCTGTCTTTACCCCCCACGTATATCCATCAAGATCCTTACTGCATCGGTGACGGCGAAGTCGGACGTATCGTATTCGTCGATGTTCATCCCTTCTACATCGGTCATTTCGGGATCGGCCATGTTGACATCGGAGCCGTTACTGGCGGAAGCAGCGAAAGTCTTGCATAGTGCAGCTCCTTTCTTCTGGCTGTTGTTAGATCCGCTAGGCACGTCTACAGGAATCCTCATGGTGCTGTCGACTGCCCAGGCTTATTATTATACACTGCTGGTAGTAGCTGTAGAATATTCTCACCTTTGAGCCTATCTCTCAGACGTGTTTGCTCTCGAGATGTCTTGCGGAAGGAAGCCTTGGCAGCGACAGTGTATCGGACTTCGAGCTTCGAGGGATGTATCGCAACTCGTCTATTGATTGTCTCGTGTTGCTATCGCTGTTGATATTGCAGTTGAAAAGATGCGGAAAGGAAAAAAAGAGTACCTCGAGGGAGGCTTATATATGCGGTAAGGGGGAAAAATTTACGTTGAAAAGGGCATAGTGACATCTTAGGGAAGAAGCTTGTGGTATTAGGTTCTAGACTTGGACTCCAAAGAAATGTCAGGACTGGGGACCGGGCTGGGACTAAGAAAAAATTGATGGTTAGGTTCGTGACTGTTGTATTTCTCCATAGACAATGGCGAATCTCCTTCTCATTAAGGTTGTCCCCCTGTACTTTTCATATTTGTTTGGCTGTCTAGTAAAACTGCACAGGTTCTTCTTGCCTAGATAGGAGCTGAAGCTATTCCGAGTAATCCGCACCAAGAAAGTACGTTTTCCAACACGCTACTTCCCATCTGCATCTCAAGAGTTACGAATCGTTCATCACCCGCTAAAGATGTTGTGGATATGTGGAGAAAAGAAGCATCCTGTCATGTCATGGGTGATTTCGCTAGTCAGACTTACTTAATAGCTTATTTATTTTTGATGTACAAATTTTTGATATGGTTGGCCTAAAACCTCGAAACTGTTTGGAACCGGATATATTCTATGCTCGCATCAGGCCACGTCTGGTAATCCGAATTCTTGACTGTAGGCAGGTAAGAGGTTACTGATCTCGAGGTTTCGTTTTGAAGATTAGACTTTTATGGTATAAATTGGCTTTCCGTGCTATGAACATTTCTTAATTAAAGACTTAGGGTGCTTTCTAGCTAACCCCCAGGCGAGCTCCATGTCATACATCGTTTCTGCGCATTCATCTCATATCAAAATTCGAGGTTCAAAAGCTTCATTTTTATATGTATTGCTCAAGTCCACCGGCGATATAAGAATGCTACCACCAAGTTATGTAAAAACACTCACTTCTCTCACCAAACACGCCAAGTCTTCATTCACACTGAGAGTGAAAGGTATACGGAGTATTGCATCAAGAAACATAGAAAACCGAATCGTCCAACTTACTGCGACAAAGTATGAATGGCTTTCTAAATGGTAGAATAACATGAAACTTACCTAATTTTCGTGAAGTAAGGAAAAATATGTCGTCGATTAGCGCGCGATGTTGAATTGAGGCTGAAATTGGGCCCATAAAAAAGTTTCGGCTAAAGCTTGCTCTAACATCACACCTCAGCACCTATTCTTAAACAGTATTCCCAAGGAACCTCATTGACTTGCGGGTCTTCCCCAACCAACCTCTAAAATGTCCGCCCTGTACAACCTCGAGCCCCAACCCACCGCCTCTTGCATCCTGCACACCACCTCCGGCGACATCTCCCTCGAGCTCTGGGCGCAACAAATCCCCCTCACCACCCGCAACTTCCTCCAACACTGCCTGGACGGCTACTACGATAACACCATCTTCCACCGCCTGGTCCCGGGCTTCATCCTCCAAGGTGGTGACCCTACCGGTACCGGCTCAGGCGGCGAAAGCATCTACGATGGCGGCGCCTTCTCCGAGTCCCGTGAAGAAAATGGCATTTGGCCCATGGAAGATAGAAAGGGCGCGAACGCGGGCCACCAAGGTGTAGGCTTCAAAGATGAGTTTCACTCCCGGATCAAATACAACCGAAGAGGGCTGCTGGGGATGGCGAACGAAGGTCCGGACTCGAATGGGAGTCAGTTCTTTTTGACACTCGGCGATACCCCGGAGTTGCAGGGCAAGAATACGTTATTTGGGCGGGTAGAGGGAGAGACGATTTACAATGTGGCCAGGATGGGAGAGGCGGAGGTCGGAGCGGATGACAGGCCTCTCTATCCTACGAAGATTACGAGTGTGGAGGTACTGGTCAACCCGTTTAAGGATATGGTCAGGAGGGCGAGGACGGCGACTGTGGTTGAGCAGCCGAAGACAGTAGAGAAAAAGAAGAAGAGGAAAGTGGGAAAGCAGCTGCTGAGTTTTGGGGATGAAGATGGGGAAGGGGAGGTACAGCCTGTGGTTAAGAAGGCTAAGTTTGACACGAGGATTGTGATGGATAATGAGGATGAGACTCCGGAGCCGAAACAGAAGAAGAGTGAGAAGAAGAGTGAGAAGCCGTCTACGAAACCTATTCCCGTCGACTCCTCACCGGAACCAATACTTCCTCCAAAGACCCTCCCAAACAGGGCTGCAAAGGTAGAACGAGATGTTTCCTCTTCGCCAGAACCCGTACAGAAAGTGTCAACTTTACTTGAGAGAACGAATGCTCAAATCGCAGAGTTGAAAGCGTCGATGAAACGAAACGTCACAACAATTCCAGTGCAGGAGAAGAAGAAATCAACCCTTGAATCAATGATACCCAAAACCTCTGTCCGGGCCCGGAAACGTCGTCCAGGAGAAAGTCTTCCCCCAGACCAGAGTACACTAGCCCTCCTCAAAGCTTTCCAATCGAAGCTTCAAAATGCACCTCCGGCGAAAGAGGTCGCCAAACCGGATCTAGATGCCGAGAACGCGGAAAACGAGGCTGGAGGAGCATCAGACGAAGAGGCTGCTCTCTGTGAGTTGCATTTTATTGCAAATTGTCAGTCTTGCAAGAAATGGGATGCAGAGGACGAAAAAGCAGACGATGATGACGATGACGGGGTGGGATGGATGTCGCACGCTTTATCATTCAAGGAGGATAAGCTGGGTAAGGACTTGAGCTACAGGAAGAAAGCTGAAGACGAGCTGGTGGTCATCGATCCGAGGGAGAAAGCTAAGACACTGAAGGAGGAGAAGAAGGCGCAGAGGGAGGCAAAGGCTGGGGGGTCTGGGAGGTCGTGGGATCAAGCCAGGAATGAGAAGTTGGCTAGGACGTCTGCTTTGGCTGGGAGGGGAGCGAAGTGATGCGTTGTGAGAATGTAATCGGTTTTTCGAAATTGGCTATCCCATGATCGAGGCATCGAATGATACATTACAGATGAGTTGTCAGATGAGTTGTAGTTACCCCTATTATCGTGAATCACTGCAGAACACCAAGCGAGGCAGCCAAATCGACCATATTCGCCGATATTTAATGAACACTCTGAATGACCACCGGTTCAGGGAAACTATACAAAAGCCCTCTCATTCTCTCATCACGAACCCTTGAAGACCACCCACTCAGTCTCTACAGACCAGACAATGAAGAGGTTTATAACTACAAGTCAAGTCAACCCAATCCATACTCGCCCATCAACAACACCACCATCGCCCTCTCTTCGTCACACCCACCAGATATCACCCACCAGCCAACATCTACTATCAGCACCCACTGTGCCGTCTACTACATCCCAAAACCTACCTCAACCCGCCGCCCATCAGATATCACCCCCCAGCCAACTATCACCACCACCACCCATGCCGTCAACCACATCCCAGACCCCACCTCAACCCGCTGCCGCCTCCAAAAAATCAGAAAAACTTCGAGTTGGCCTCGCGCGCTTACTCGCCGCCTCGCGAGCCGAGGACCGAGCTACACTGCTGGACTTCATCACCAGGTACGAGCTTGTCCCCGCCAACCCCTACTGGATGTACTTGCAGCTGTCAAACGGCCGTGTGTGTCACGTTCAGGACGCTGCGATGTTATTCCGCGAGGCGAGCATGAGGGAGCGAAGCGATTTTGCAAGATGGTCGCTAGTATTGATGGAGCTGCTTCGGGAGAAGGGGCTTATTGGTTGATGTGGAGCTTCTTGGGGAGAGGTGAAATGGTGGAGGATCTGTGACTAGGTTTCGACGCCCAAGATACAATGAAGAAATTTATTTTTACAACCCCCCTCCCTCCCCCCATTTTCTTCACAAAAAGGTCATTAATTAACAAATTCGTGGCCTTTTGAAGCGCGTCTATGTATCAGAATCCTAGCCTCTGCTGAAGAGACGAATTGGAGCTTTGAGGAGCTGTGAGGAGCTTTGAGGTGCACCAGCTACCGGTAGTAAGCCAGCCATTTCACCATCTTCAATCTATCTAGTATAGAGAATCAATAAGTCTTATAGTCGCTACGTAAGACTTATCATTCTTTGTGTATCATCAAGGTTCTAAAATCATCATCATCCATTGCTGTAACTTATTGTCGCCACTGATCATAGAAAGATATACTCATCTTTTTATCGTAATATGGTAATCCAAAGGAGCTCTGCCTGGTACGAAACGAATGTGCAAAGGAGAAAGAAATTTGATACTAGATGATACCTTTCCTCAAAGTCTTGGTTGGAAATATTCGAAACTATCAAAGCCACTCACTCGATCAAGGTTTGGAAGTCAATATTGACTCGCTTTCAGCCTAGTCACGTGAACGTATCCAGCCTTGCGCCACTTTGATTGAACATTTCCAGACGGGTCGCATCATGCGATCTTCAGAACAAAACTCCGAAGCAACAGCGTCATGAAGATGGAAATGAACTTATCTTTGATACACTAAACCTGACGGCGTCCCAATTGCTGAAGCAACGCCTCGCGCCGCCCGCAAAAGGCCTCGAAACCTACTTTTCCATCGACTACAACTGCTCTGGTCCTGCAGGCAGCCGAACCTTCCGCATTGATCCACGAGCTCTGTTGACATTCTTTCGGGGCGCAAGTCTCACGGGCTCGCTTTGTGACAGACAATAGGATCCGCTGCCAGAAGCTCCTCAAGACATCCAAGCAGCGCGTCTTTGACGTCGCTTACGGCTCGTGGCTCATTTAAATAGCGACCACGATATCTCTTCTAATTCCTCTTCCTTCCTTTCCTATCCCCTCTGCCCATCTGAAGGCCTTCTGCTTCCCTCGGGCGCAAACTGGAATTTTTACCTTGCCCTTACCTTACTGACCTTACCTCACTCACCTTACCTCACCTTACCGACACGACACGACGACAAGTGATCTCGTCGAGTGGGTGGGTATCGCAGGGACGGGGCCTTGGAGCAAAGCAACGCATCTCAACGCATCTCAACGCAGCCTTCCGTCAGCCTCGACCCGGTCCGGTCTCGTCTCCTCCTCGCCGGCTTCGTGGATAGTATCTTCTTCCCACTGCCGGCTGGAGAGTGAATTTCTCTGCAGTCAGTATCTACGACCGCCTGGCACAGAATCTTCCCTATCCCCAGACCCTGACCACCGCATCAGATCGATCGCTTGTCACCTCACTGGCGCTCCACATGGCTCCTACAAATCCCCGAAAGAGACCCGCGCCGGGATCAATGCCCGCCCACAACACCCAGATGCCCCAGACACAATCCCAATCCCAATCACAATCCCAATCCCAATCCCAGTCCCAGTCCCAGTCCCACGCTGCACACAGTCAGACCTCGAATGCCGACTACCTCTCCTGGAATCAGCAGCCCGACAATACAGGCTACCCAGAGCCGGCGGGCTACAATACCGTGAACAATTACGCAGGCGCTGGCATGTCGCAACCCCCATTCGAACAGTCCGTCCCTGCTGCCTCGACCCAGCTGGCGCGCCGGCCTGTGAATAATCGCCAGCTCATTTCCAATGCGCAGCGAGTGCAGTACGACAACTCAGCCGACGCGTGGGGCCAGTTTGGGGACGAGCCGACACCGGATCCGAACAGCTCGGGGGCCATAGAGGAGAGCGACAGCATTGAGCGGCTGGAAGAGAGGGCTGCGGCCGCAAAGAGAGACTCGCAGTCGAAACGAAAGCAGATCCCTCCGTTTGTCCAGAAACTAAGCAGGTCAGCGGCCCTACCCTCCCCCAAGTTTGTTTGCTTGCTAACCACAATCAGTTTCCTCGACGGCGCAAAGAACACCGAGCTCATTCGATGGTCCGACCGAGGCGACTCATTCGTGGTGCTGGACGAAGATGAGTTTGCTAAGACGCTGATACCCGAGCTGTTCAAACATAATAACTATGCGTCCTTCGTCCGGCAGTTGAACATGTATGGATTCCACAAGCGGGTTGGACTGTCGGACAACTCGATGAAAGCAAGTGAGCGGAAGAACAAGAGCCCCAGCGAGTACTACAACCCATACTTCAAGCGCGGCCATCCGAATCTACTCTGGCTGATCAACAAGCCAAAGGGTGGCCATGCGAAGAACAAGAAGTCGAGAGTCAAGAATGAGGATGGGCCAGACGGCGAGAGTGACGATGATGGGAAGGATGTGGAGGAGATCTATGGAAATAACATGCAGCAATCGAGAGCCATCTCAGCTGTCCCTGAAGCCGGACCTCTACAGCGACGGGATATGGCGGCGCTTCAGAACCAGCTGTCAGAAATCCAAAAGCAACAGACTACGATCACAAATGCCATCGCTCGTCTACGCAAGGACCACAACAATCTCTTTGATCAGTCGATAGCCTTCCAGTCCCAGCATGACAGACATGAGAACTCTATCAATGCCATCCTCACATTCCTGGCAACTGTCTACAATCGGAGTCTGGATGGACAAGGACCTCAAAATATTGCTCAGATGTTCGCCAATGGGATACCCCACAACGACCAGCAGAACCAAGGAAGTGTGGTGGATATTGGAGATGTCTCAAATCAAGCCCAGGAGCAAGCGGGAAGTTTGAGTCCCAGCCGACGACCGCAGCGGCTACTGATGGCCCCACCGAAACCTGGAGGACAAGCAGCCACAGCTACGCCATCTGCTGGATCTACACCTCAGCCCCAGTCACAAAACTATCAAAATACAGCCCGCTCTGCCACGATCGAGGAGCTGTTTGATTCGCCCTCCGATTCGACCAACGTTAACATGGACTACAAGCCTGACATAACCAGACCCGAGATGAGCCGCCATGCCATCCCCCAGCAAAATATGATGATGAACATGATCCAAGACAGTAACGCTCAGAACAGCCCTAACAATGGCGCTCTCCATTTCCCGGAAATGCTCTCGCATTACGAGAATTCCAACGGGAACTCACCTCTCACGTCCGAACAACGCAACAGCATGCTCAATATGATAGCCAATTCGTCCTCGGCAGGTGGAAATAATAATGCCCTGACAAGCCCTCCGCCGCTTGCGCCTCTTTCACTTCAAGAGCTGGGCTATACGCAGAAGGAAATCGATGATTTGATGCGTCTGCAATCCGATCAAGAGCGCAGCATCAACGAAGTCAAGACTGCCCTCGCCCCACTCAGTCCTTCGGGCTCTATCCGTGGCATGGACGGCGGCTCGTACCTCAACAATATGGGCTCCCCGGTTGACCCGAACGTGTCAAACCTCGACCTGGACCAGTACCTCAACACAGGCGAGTTCTACACGGGCAACAGTCCAATGGCGACCCAGAACGACTATGACTTTAACACCTTTGGTGATGCGAGTGGAATAGGGGAGAGCAATTTCAATGTGGGGATGGGTGGCGGGCTTCATAGTGGAGGGCAAATTGAGAGTTTGCATGGCAGTGCGGATCACACGCCGGAGGTTGGCACGCCAGAAGAAATGAATGGTGTGATAGGGGTACGGAGTCCTGAGACTAGCAAGAGACGACGGAATCATTAATGCGTCTCAGGCGGGGCGGTTTGTTTTCACGAAGAAACTGGCGTTTGGAAGATCTCTATTCCCATGGCGTACGTGGTGTTTTTTTTTTTTGGCTCTGCGGCGTTCAGAGTAGATGAAAAGAAAGGGCAGGCATGATATCACGAGCGAGGCGGGTTTAGAAAAGCTCAAGCGTGGGGGGTTTGGGGGATGGGGGGATGGATAGGCTGAAGGTTGGATGGATGGATGGGGGGGAGGGGGGGGGTTGATTGGGATTGGTTTTTATTTCTCTTCTCTCTTCCTCCCTATCTCCTCCAAGGTAGGTAAAGGACTAGGACAAGGACGGAAAAGCTATTATAGGTGGTGAAACTCTTGGAGGTAGGGTAGATACGGTTATGTGAGATATCTTGTGAATATAAAAAAATTGTTCATACGTTGTTGAGTATACATATCTCTGTCTCTCTCGCAATTGCTATTTGGGAATAGCTCTCGCCAGCTTGGAATGAATGGCTCTTGGGTCCCGGTAGAGGGAGGGAGCTGGCTATTTATCTGTCCTCTTTCTTTTTTGGGTGGGAGGGAAGGGGGGGAAGGAGGGTTGGCGCAAATCCATACAACTACTGATATGCTTTCTTTCTTTCACTACCTACCTATGCCTTCTTCGTTATGTCAGGTTACGGTTCGGCAAGGCAGTTAGGATAGATACCTAGGTAGGATTACGAGCTTAGGTCTCCCTCCCCTTCTCTTTTCTTCATTCAATCACGAACAACAGTCCAACAATCCACCCCCTCCTCCCCATATCCATCCCCCCTTCTCTTGCGGGGTGGAAGCGGAAGCATTGAAAGATCGATTGACGAGCCTTGGTCTAGTTCCTCCTCGAAAGGGAGCGTCAGCGCTACCTAATCGAACTCACGCCTCACAAATTCTTTGGGGGGGAAGGGGGTGTTATTTAGATTCAAGTACAGTCCTGCCTGGCACATACGACCATAGACTGAGGAGAATTGGGCATCCCGTTCGCTCTGCCATACACAAGCCTCAGATCGGCAGATTAGTAGTTGGGTGGGTGACCACCAGCGAATACCTGCTGTTGTATGTTTTGGAATGTTTTTTTTTCTTATACTTTCCCTCCCCCCCACTGATACAGTACTGTAACATATCGAAAGTATAAATCTGCAAGGGATCTTACCAGGGCTTAAACCAATCAACTTCTAAGAATCCAGCCTCGAGAAGTACTACGTATCTGTAGGTCGGTATTAAGTCTGTGCAATTGAGTTGACAGGGCTCTGAGCCATTCAGAAACCACCGCTCTACGATTTATGGGCCTAAACTGGGTCCGACACTTGAACATGGGCGGAGTATGTTTTTTTTATGTTTTATTGTATGTTTTTCTGCGAAAATCCACCATCCCCTTCTCCAATCCTCCAATCCTCCATTCCATCCAAATACGGAGCATCAACTCTTAAATTAACAATTAAAATGCCGATCACTCAATCAATAACCCACTCATCTATCTAGATCCCTAACAAAACTGATTAGCTGTTGGCTTCTACACCGTTTTAGTCCCGTTCCCGTTCCCCCCGATCACGCCGTTCCTCCTTCAAGCGCCCTGGCGTTCCAGTCTACGGATTACGTCTACGGGCCGGGCCGATCCGCGCCCATGCTCAGATCTCAGATCTCACCTACCTACCTATTTTATGAATCGGCTTTGCGCTTGATTTAAGCGAGCTTTAGTGAATAATTAGTTAATAAGATCTAGTGAGTGAAATACAAGCGAGATTATTTTTGATTCTCAATCGCCGGCGGCCTCAGATTGATTCAGCTATCAGCTTATACGTTTTCTTCTTCTTTCTCTTTGCTTTTCTGTTCTTTCCTTTTGGCAATAGAAGTTTTTTTTTTTCTCCAAGAGTGAACTGAGCCGTGCTCAGTGAGTACAGCCATTTTATCCTGTTTTGACCCTTTACTTTGAAGATTTAATAGCGGACTTTTGATCGTGACATTTCTGGCTTCTATACCAGGCCCTGGCTCATGATTTTTGAGAAGCGTGGAAGTGGTTTCCGACTTCGCTTACGATTAGTAAGTAAACACGGGCTAGGTCGTTGCTTGACGATGCTCTTATGAGAGGCTTGATACGAGTCTCGGGTCTTCTAAGATTTCTTCATTGCTGTCTCTTAAATCAATCATAAACAATCATCCGTCTTGGAAAGAGAAACCGCCCTTTCTGTTTTATTTACAGAATCATGTGACGCTGCTGGCTGAACACCCCGCAATCAGGGTAACACCAAGACCCTTGCTAGTCTGTGGAGCTGGGAGGCGGCTGCATCTCGTCGATTTAGAGGCCGTCAACTTCATCGCGATGCGATACCTCATACGAAGTCTCCTATTGTGCTGTAAAGGCATTCCCGGAGGATTCACGCTCTTACCAATCGCTGATATTGATGGCATCTTACTATCAAGACGATGAGGTCGATGACCGAGACCGGAGACGTCGTGGTACAGCTCCTACACATCGTCACAAACAACCAGTGCGCTTTGCAAGTCCAGTGGCAGAGCCTGAATCTTATCGCTGGAGACGTCCAGAACAGCGACGGCCATATGCTCGGTTCCCTTCAGAGGATCTCGTTGGGAGCGAAACAGAGAATCGCACCAGCCGTTCGAAGAGTCCCACTCTTCAGGAAAATAACAGACAGACAAGTTCGCCCTCTCCTATTCCGAAGCCCGAACCAGCTGGTAGGAGTGAGACTGTATCACCAGAAAGGTCCACCGACCGGCCAATATCACCAGTAAAAGACGCTGCGTGGGAACCTCGTTCTCCACAGGTGCCAGAAAGAGCATCGAGTGAAGGTTCATGGAACGCCAGAAATGCTTTCTACCCCCCAGGCTACTCTGAATACTCAGATGATGATTTCAATGTTCGGGTTCGACGAGATCGCAGCTCTCCAGAACCTCCATATCGATCGTCTTCCCCTCCCGTAGCACTTCAAAGCGGGAGTGGCTACTACAGTGTAAACGATCACAAATTCTGGACTGCAACGGAAGCTTTTCAAGATGTGCATCGTGGGCGCAAACGTGAACGCGGACAGGAATGGGCGAAATCCTACAGCGGTGCATCTGGGCCCAGTCTCCCTAGTCCAATTCGCTCTCAGCATCGATATCGCTCCACCGCTGGTCCTGTACCATCGAGAGGGACAAGCTTCTATGACGAAGATGAAGATTTAGACGTGAGAGTCCGAACGCGGGAGCCATACCGTCCTATCTCGTTTGTCTACCCTGAACGTCGCACTCGCACGACGCCACGAACTCTACCTTCCCGAGGAACTAGCAGGTATGAAGCATCGGAAGATGAGCTCGATATTGGAGAGAGGAGAGGTCAGGATATTCCTGCCAAAGTCATCTATTCAGAGCATCGACATCGTCCATTCCCTCGACCGTACTATCCACCCCCAGAGATAAATCCTAGCCCGCGGCGAAGCAGGCGAGAAATCTCACCAGAGCGATCTTTCAGTAATAATAATCGTTATTACATTTATTATGGAAATGATCAGTATGGGAACTACTCTCACGACAGAAGAAGCCGGTCTAGATCTCCATCCGCTCCTGTACCACCGGCGGCAGCACCTGTCATCATTAACAATCGGATATACAACGACATCGATAACGACGACTACCTCAGTCTCGGCCCCGCTACAACTGCTACGGGCCGAAGTAGACCAATCATAAGCACTGCACCGCTTCCAGTGAAGAATCATATCTATAAAGATTACGCTGATGAGGATTATGATGCATTGGTCACTCGTCTAGGTGAACCAGATCTTGGGTTTATTACTCAAGCCTACCAGTTCTCACTCTCGCGTCACAGCAAGAGCCTGCAAGGTAGCGATAGCGATCTCGGTTCTATTTCTGATACATCTGAGAGAGATGAGCCGCGCGCACAAGAGAATTCCAAGAAAGCATCTGAATCCGGGAAAACATACAATATGCTCCGTTCTCAGTACATTGGCGAAGGTGCGATTGGTAGACCTCACTCTGTGCAGCTAACATTGATGCCTGAACCTGTTTCCACTCATCTAAAAAGAGTTTCTCCTGTCTTCAGATGGGTGTAAGTCATTGATCATCTAAAAATTTCCGGCAACTGATTTGAGTAGGCATTTCGAAGACAAGAATATGGATTTTGAACACTTCGAAGTATTTCTACCTGTGGTCACTTCTCCGGACCCAGAAACTGACCCATGATATAGAATAACACGCTCAACATTCCCGGACTCACAAGTCTGGAGCAAAGTTCCATTTCGAAATTACTCGGTCGTGTTAGGAAGGGGTGGGACAAGCCTCTACAAACAGCAACCAAAACTAAAGCCAGATATATGGTGCCTTCATTCCTGCAGGACAACTTGTCAGAGGAGAAGATATCGAAGACTTCAAGAATGAGAACAATATCGTGGGTTTGCCTCCCATACTTCGTTTTGCAGCAATACTCCGCTCCCTCTGGATCAAGAGCCTCGTCTCATCCGATGAGAACCCTTCTCCAGGCAAGATTCGCCTTGACACGGAAGGAGAGAGACATGAAGCAGGCAGTACAAGGGCTGGGAAATACTCCACCTGAACACTGTTACTACATTGCGCAAGTCTGGTTTCTCATCATTGATGACTGCAGGTACAGCCTTGCTATGGTGTTCAATCCTCGCACTGACATGTGCACTTAGCCATGATTGTATCTTGCGCTCGCCCTTCCATGACCGCTCTGCGGGGGGATTCAATTTCAGTCCTTCCCCCACCGGAACCAGAAAGTCCCTTGCTCTCTCCAAACATTCTTGTCTCCACAAAGAGTTCTCTCCTCTGGGCGCTACCGCTGGAAGAATGCCAAAGTTGGTTTGTAAGTTAATCTCCCTCAAAACGAAATCGAAATCCTTACCTCAGCCAGGCTTTTACGTCGCATTTTTTGGAATATTGGCCGCTACAGGCGGCTATTACATACTCAGGTAAATCAATCGTGGCTGAAGATTGGCCGAGACTTCTGTTACTCGCGAAGAAAGCTACGATTCGCCTCTCTTTGGAGCTCCAGTAGGTCATTGCGTCCATCGCTAGTCGTTGGTGACGATACTGACGGAACAAGAATTCTTAAAAGGGTGGAACCAACACGAGGCACCCTGTTAGAGGACCCAACCTCCGAAGAAAGTGCGCACAAAGAGCGATCCGCGCCGAGTCCATCTCTCAAACCAAAAGATCACCAACGACACAAGAATAGACACAAGAACTCGTCCGAACGAAGCAAAGAAGAGTTCCACGTGTTCACGTGGATGAACTCCAACAACGAAATGCATAATGTGAGTCCCGGGATCACGGCTACCAATGTTGACTACATCCTATCAGGCTTTGAGAGTCAAGGGTTGGAGGATGATTTGAAAGAGATGGACGAGTACCTGAGCACCGAGATCAACCTTAGCCACCGCCTAATCTACAACGCCGCTCCGTCGAAGACTAGAGTGGAACTCTATGAATTGCTATCGAGTATGAGGAAAGAAGCTGTATCGGATGAAAGGTCCACAACGCCCCAAATCAAGGTATACGAAGCTGTGGTCGACGTGGTCAATGCAGCCGAGGTATTGTTTCGATTCTTCCTACCCTCGAACTACGAAGGCACTATGGTGAATAAGTACTGGGGAGCAGTGTACCAATTGCTGAAGGTGAGTGGGATCTAGTAGGAGCTTTGGATATCCTGGCTGAAACCCCTTACAGCTATCGCAATCAGGACGTCTCTCAGCGCGAAATGTTTCTGAAGTGTTGGATTCGCTCATCCTGCTCAATCAAAGCACCGTGCCCTTCGCAGAACTGTTCTCTCAAATGCCACTTGTAGAAAGATCCAATGCTCAGATCCCCGAAGAGCTTACAACAGCTTGGCTACACCTCGTTCTGGGGCTAGCCTCATGCCCCAAGGATCTGCGACTCTTTGATACGCAAATGACTACGTGTGTGGAGCTTGTAGAACAAGGTATCAGGAAGGCTGTCATGGCTCTGACGAAACTTTATGAATTGCCGAACTACGCCGTCTTCCAGCCGTACGAGTTTGCCTTGTTGATCGCGTTCCAACTGTCTCGCGACGACGGCGGATCATCGACCGAAATATCCGACACCTATCTGGAATACTTAAAGTCCCTGGTAAGTCACGGCTATCTCCTTGTCCTCGGCAAGCAACCAAGTTGATATTGTTTCCGGCAGCAATCCGATATTGAAGCCAACCCACTCGATCGGAACCACCAGGATCGGATCGTCTGTCTGAAGCAAGAGATTGAAGTCATCAGCGAAACCTTGGACGTCCAGCAGTACATTCTGCGGCAAGCTCAACGCGGGTTCGGCGCCTCTCGCACTGCAGGGGCCCGTGAGGATGCCGACTATCCCAGCCACAAGCTGCCTCCGCCATATACGCACACGAGAAGTTTCCCAGCGCTGGAGTCGACTGGTATGCAAAGCCTCATCATCCAGGACAGCCTGGCACTGATAGAGAATCGCATCCGAGGCTTTAGAGAAATGCGTGAGATTGCATCCGAACTCGGAGACTGGGTATATACATATCCCCTTCCCCCCCCCCCCCGCCTCCCCTTCCCATATCAAGCAAGAGTAGGTTTCAAAGCTTACAGTAAGCGCCCAGAACATCCAAAAGATCGATTCCAACAAGGACCGCCAAGAGGCAGCCATCTACGCCTTCACCATCGTAACTATCATCTTCCTCCCGCTCGGCACCATCGCAGGCATCATGGGCATGAACACGGCCGACATTCGCGCCATGCCTTTCCGCCAGTGGGTGTACTGGGCCACCGCCCTCCCGCTGACCGTCACCGTCATCGTGCTCTGCCTGGCCTGGGCAGGCGAGCTGAACAACTTCTGGGCGGGCCTCCGCCGTCGGCTAATGTGGAAGAGGGACACCACTACCACCAGCAGCTTGCGGGATTACGCCACGGCTGCGAAGTATGCGAAGCGGTATGAAGAGACCATTGAACGGCGGACCGCGGGGTATGATGATCGGCGGCGGGAGCTCGTGAGGTCCAGGAGGAGGTCGGGTACGGATACGCTGTTTGGGAAGAGGGAGGAGAGGAGCTATGTCTGATTGATTGATTGATTGATTGATCAGCTCTCAAAATATCTATTCGAGGAGCTAGCAGCTCGCAGATCTTTGCTGCCGAGGTCTCAGATAGCTAGCTGCCAGGTCTAGACTTACTTACTTATATTAGCGGCGTGTATCTCTTACATCACATCTAATCTTGCAGCTGTTTAAACCCCAACCGCCCTTTGATCATGAGTGCTTCTGTATGTCTCTAGATTATGATTACATAGAAATTTCAAGAATCCGTCTATTCATTAGATTCTCCAGCCTTTTTCTCTCTCTCTTCTTTTTCTCTTTTTCTTTTTTCTTTTTTCTATTCTATTCTCGTCCTCTTCTTCTCAACCCTCCAAGTAAAGAAAACCTCGCCTCGCCAATCTCGTAATCTCGAAATCTCCTACTCAGCCTCATCCCATTCTAGCGCAATAAACATCTCCTAGAATCCAGTAATGAAATAGGTACGCGATACTTGATTTTTTTTTTTTTTTTTTTGAAAAAAAGAAGAGGAAGAAGAAGAAAAAAAAGGGGGAAAGGGGAAAAAGGGGAAAAGGAAGAAGAAAAAAAAGAAAAAAAAGAAAAAAAAAAGAAAAAAAAAAGAAAAAAAGGGAGAAAAAAGGGCACCGGGGCGGGAGATTAGTAGATAGGTAGTTCGAGCGTGATACATGATACATGATACATCATATGTGAGCTAGATTTAACGAGAAGGCGAGGGAGAGGGAGATTGAGGATTTGTATGTGTATTGTTTATTTCTGTTTATGGCTATGTTTATCGATTTGATGGATAGGGTGTACAGTACTCGTCGGTTGCCTATGCAAGAAAGAGAAGAACGAAGAAAGCAAAGAGAGAGAGAGAGATTTTTTTTTAAACCATCCATAAGAACTTAAGACCTCATCCGAGTTATCTAATCTAATCCAATCCAATCCAATCCGAGTTAGAGTGTAGTAGAGGAGAATAAGGGTCCAGCCCCAACCAACCAATCAACCAACCAATCTCACCTCCCTCTCCCTCCACCTCCTACCCAATCAGGCATCCAAACCCCACAGCCCCCAGCCACATAAGAGCAAACAGCGACCAGCGAATCTCCTCTCGAGCCTCCCCCATCGAAGTCGATGGCGCACTACTACTACTACTACTGCTGCTGCTCGGCGTCCCAGAAGACAGAACTGCCTGAGCGGGACTGATGATTCCGCCTTGGATGCGGGTGGGGGCCACCGCTGCCGAAACGTCGGCGGCGGCGGCGATGTACATCTCGAGGGTCTTGGATGAGTCGGTGCTGGTGAGGGGGAGGGGGGTGAGGTTAGAAGGTGAAGAGTAAACAGATGGGGGTGGGGGGGGGGGGGGTTGGGGGAGGGTAGGAAAAGAGAAGGAGGAGGAGGAGAAGAAGAAGAACAGAACCTACGGAGCATTAATCACACCAGCCATACCCCTCGCGCAGTGTCCCGGGGCCGCACAGTAGAACCAGATGGGCTTCGTATCGTTGACCGTGATGGTGAAGGTGTTCGCGTTCTCGCCCGCCGCGGTGGTCACGCCGCCGCTGAAGAAGCTTGTGGCGTTGAGCGGTTCGCACGGCTTGGCGAACGAGGACTGCGCGACGGAGTGGCGGGATGGGAAGAAGTGGAACTCGATTTTGTCACCGACTTGGGCTGTTATGGTGCTTGGGTCGAAGACGAGACCACTTTTTCCGACGGTTACGGAGTGGACGGGTGATGCAGATGAGGTTGCTGCTGCTGCGGCGGCGACGGCGGCGACGGTTGGGGTGGCAGCAGAGTTCCCGTAGTCATAAGCGAAAGCAACAAGAGCGGTGGAAAGGACGACGGCGAGAGTAGAGTATTGCATCTTGAAAGTAGGTCGATATGAATGTGTGGGTGTATTAAGAAAGATGGAAACTTCTAAAGTGAGACCAGCTGATTGAAGAGAATGGAAAGAAAGAGAATATTTGAGAGAGTGGAAGAATGAGACCGAGTAGTAGGAAGCATCGCTCTATTTATTCTCGAAGTGAGACTCGTCCAACTCTGTGTGACAAGCCGACTCTGACCTCCAAAGATTTTGATAGTACCAAGCTTTATTGGCACTTCAGGGATAGAGAATGAAAAAGAGCGGCGCCAGCCCGGGGGAAATGGACCAGCCGTCGAGAACCTATCCAGTATGGACCTTCAGCTGGAGTTCTGTCCACCCCTACGAAAATGGCTGACTCTGACGCAGATCTGGAACTCCTCAATTCTCTCCATCAGCCCAACCACGGCCTTGGTCTCCACGGCTCGATCGTAGAGTTCTTTGCGTCCAGGACTTTGTACGATAATATTCGCCTGCCTTAAAGCATGATTGCAGCACGCAGCCTCCGTCTGACACCCTCGGATTCTTTCCCGGCCACTGGCCCAAAGATGAGGTATATATACAAATAACTGGCCTTCCTCGAACACTCGTCGAATGTTCAATCGCATTCAAAAACCCAACACAACAAAGTCACTTGACCACGTCCGTAGCAGCTTTGAGCAAGCATATCGAAGAACTGACAAACAAATTCCAAAAATAGAGCCCAAACAGAGGCTTACTTCCACTTCCCCGGCGCCCCAGCTAAACATCGACGAGAACGACGTCCAACGTCAACAGCCCGAAGACAGCGGCAGGAACACGAAGACCGCAACACAAACATGAGACGACACCCTCTTACCGTCCCATTCTTCTCGATTCCTCCTTTCGCCCTGTCATCCAAAATAGACTCCCACGAATTGCAGCTCCAGCTTGCCGCTGCCGTGTTTCGGCTCAGTTGGCCTCGGTGGTGGATGGTATATGGTGGAGGCTGTGCTGGACGGCTGCAAGATCATGAGAGAGAGCGGAAGAGATAGCCACTGGCCGGTATATATTGACTGCGTACAGCCGTATCAGCCACTTTTTTTTTCGGCAGAGATGCTGGAGATGTTCTGGTCGGGGAATAATTTGCAGCTGGTTTTATGATCGTCTGAGGTTTGTTTTGAGTTTGATTTACTCACTGAATTAACCGAAGTGTCCACAGTCCAGCCACGGCGCTTAGGGCCGTCTGAGTCACGTGGATTCTTCGGACAACTGCATTTATATAATTGCATCTTCTTTGATCCGTTCCGCTCATCCTCGAGCTATATCGCATACTATCTATCACACTTCCAAAAGAAGCTGCAGCATTATGGTATAATAATTCAAAAAAGACCCCTTGTCTAGATCGCTAATTAAGCGAGGGCGGAAACCAGCAGGCAGAGGATATCGAAGGTAAGTCCTTGAGTATGATTTCCTATATATATCTACTGATAGGTACCTCTACCTCTAAGTCTCCCAGGAGTCTGCCGGCTCCCGTCTATATAATAACGTCGGCTTTGGACAACACCACCCTCTCGTTCAGATCCGTGTACACCACCAGCTGTGCCCCAACCGCCAACGTAATCCGTTTCCCCTCGAAATCCTCATCTTTCCTAACCGTCTCCACTTCCACCACCCGGTGCTCCGGATCTCTCATCGGGCTCCCGCGCCATGGGATTTCAATTTTGTGAGTCAACCTCATCGCCCTCAATTCCAGCGCCAGCGCCTGCGCAGCTCGACACACTCTCGCGAAGCCGGCCTGCGCGTCGGGCGTCGTGTCGACCTGCATCTTCACCCGCACCGGTTCCATGAGCTGCATGATATCAGCGACGACCGACGCCAATCTTTCGTCTCCGTTGTGGTCAATATTGCTGCGGGAAGTCGCTTCCGGCACCGCCGCGATCTTCGTGCAGAGGTTCATCGTCAGGATGCGCCACTGGTTGCGCCAGATGCGACTATCGTCTAGAGCGCACACACGCGCACACACGGCCAAGAGTCAGTGATGCGGTATATACGAGGTTTGGGTGCATCTGGCACGGGGTACGGTAGGTAGTAGAATGATGATCCGGGAGACCGACTTACCGTCTTGATGATTCATCTCAACCTCCCCCTCGAACGCGCCGAGCATGGCTTCCATCTCGGTGGCACCGGTAACGTGGCCCAGGCCGTAGCACGGCACGGCAAAGAACTTCTCCCACACCAAGTGCATGACGGCCGCCCGCGACCGGTACAGCAGCTGTGCGGCCGAGTATCCCACCATCCACTGCTGCAAGAAATCTCGCTGGAGCGGCGTCGCCAGCTTGGGCATCAGCGGGGGATTCCTCAGGCGCGTCGAGAGGTCGGGTTCGGGGTAGTAGTACTTGTGTATAACCGCCTGCACCTCGTTCTGAACCTGCAGAAGCCCCTGGACCAGCGCATTCGTCCTCGACTGATCCGGCTCCGCAAAGCCGTGAGACGACCTCGTCTTGACCTCCTTCCACATTTCCATCTCCATTCGCGCCTTGACCTCATCCTGCCAAACCCGTTCAACCTCCTGCTTCAAGACCGCGACTTCGGCTTCCAGCTGCTTGCTGTTCCGGGCAGCGTCATGATCGCCGCCTGTTCGCTGACCAGCCTTGGGGACGTTTTTTCTTGTCAGTCGATCCAGCTCCCGATCCCTCTCGCTAATTTCCTTCCGCGCCTCTTCCAAATCGTTTTCCAGCGTCTGGATCCTGATGCGGTCGTTGTTCCCAGCCTTCCTCGTCCCATTCCCCCCCGTCCCAGACTTGGTTCCGCGGTTGCCCGTGTCCGGATTCGCTGGGACGGGAGACGCACCGCCGTGCGAATCGTGAAGCACGCTCTCGATTTCGCGGATGCTGTGCGCGATCTGGTTTCTGATGCTCTGTTTCGAGATCATTAGGGCCGCGAATGGGCTGCTCGACGCCATTCGTCTGTCTGCTAGCCTAGCTGAATATATATATTACCCTCAAGAACCTTTGAAGCAGGAAATCGATAGCCAAATTTAAATTCAAATATACAAAACAGACTTAACATCTATATAAAAAAGATCACTTCTCACAAAAGGAGAGAAAAAAAAAAGGTCAGAGTCCTTTTCTTTCTTCTACTCCATTTTTCCCCCCCATCTTTCTTTCTGCTATATCTTTTGAAAGACGGGGAAAAGGCTTTCTTTGTTTCGTTTGTGCGAGGAGCAAAAGAATAAAGGAGATTGAGTGAATGAACGAAATGGAAGCGGGATCTCCTTCCTCATCCGGCGACAAAACGTCATTGTTATCTTGCTATTTGTGTTCTTTTAGAGGATTTGAAGCGAAAAAAAAACCATAAAAAAATCTTCGTCGTCATACCTATTTCCATCTCTATAGATATATGAAGGATCTGAAAAAGTGTGTAAGTTCCATCCGCTGTGCTGTGTGTATTGTACGCTGCTTAGTATTTCGTTACCACAATCGAAAACACTACAACCATCCGAATACAGGAATGCACAATTTCATTTGCCCTGCAGAATCAAGCGAAGAAAACCATGGAACGCAATCCCAAAGATAGTAAAAATAAGACCCACAGGGCGACGAGGACATGTTTTGTTTCAGAGCACCGTCTTGCCGTATTTCATTCTTGCTTACCTTCGTACTCCGTATCGTCTCCGAAATTCAATATATTGAAAATAAAGAAGGAGGGGGGAGGGGGGAAAGCAAAGAGAAGAAGGGAGAAATAAAGTAAGAAGGTAGGGAAGTAGGTATTGGGGATTTAGAAGGACGAAATACAAGACCCGGAAAGTGGACTGAAGAAGATTGAATGAGATGCTTGATGAAACGAGAATAGATTGGATAAGAAAGTAAACGAGAGGAGGATATGTTTATCTACCGTATGTGATATATATAGATCGATCGGCTCGCCAGCTTGATCTGTACGTGCAAGATCCTAATCCGCCTGCGTGATCGTGATTGCGATTATGATTGTCCGTACCGTATAATAACTAGAAGGGTTGTCTGTTCGGTTGCACTGCTCCGGATGGATGTTGGGGATGTTGGGGTATATAATCCATTTTAGCCGGGCGGGCGATGCTGCAGGTTCCGCAGGCGGGCCGGGTAGGCGGGAAGGCGGGTAGGCGGGTACTTATTGGCGGGGAGCGGGGGGACGGGGGGCGGGGGCGGGGGGGCTTGGGGGGCGGAGGGCTGGGGGGAGGGGAATTGTGGGGGCTGGAATTTGGATTTGGGTCTAGACTCTAGACGGATGGAAAACGAAATCGAATGCGATGAAATCGGATAAGATGGGGAAAGGAAATAAGGATACGAAACAGAAAAGAAGGAGGAAGGAAGGAAGGAAGGGAGGAAGGAAAGAAGTGCTTATTAGAGTTTTCTGGATCGAGTCCTGTGCTACTTGTGTGTTTGTACTGTGTAAGTAGGGGTATGTGGAAATGGAGATGGAAAAAAGAAGAAGTGTATTTATTACATTACTGCTGCCAGGAGGATATGAGTACGGAGTACAATATATATTTATCAGCTCTTTTAGTTTATCCTTAAGTAGTTGGTTAGTGCATATACAACTGGCATATGAAGAAAAATATGAAGGGGCTACAAATTTATTTGGATGTGCTTTTTATCCGTTTTTATGTATAGAGTACATATACAAACAATACAATATACCACGGTACAGGCCTAAGTATTACCCCTCGAGGGTGCCTTAAAAGTTTAGTTTCCACTTTAAGCCCCCTGTTTTCCATACCCTCGAGGGGTAATACTTACGCCTGCGACGTAGTAGTATACCATCAACGGATCGAGTAGGTAAATAAGTAGGTAATTAGTTGACAGGTGAGTACAATAAAGTAGCGAATGAATGGCTGGCTCTGCTTGCTTACTCGCTTGATCTTCGAAGCCGACAGAGCCGATCGAATCGTAGCTGTAATAGGGGATACCCCTTTTCCCTTCCTTTCTTTCATTTTTTTCTAGGGATCGGTTGGCTGAGAGAGTTAATGGACACCTTTAGCATAAATTTTCACGATACTTCGGCAGGGAGACTGAGCAAGTTTTCGCTCAATGAGAAAGCGCGCTCCAAGACCCTCGATCCATTGTGTGGCGAAAGCTCCGTAGGGAAGAGCGAAAAGGTTTTCATCCTGAAAACAAGTTGCAAGACTTGCAAATTTTTTCAAGTTGAGAATCTTCGACTCTATGTAGTGGTACTTAGACTGAACTTTATACGTAAACAGTTAAGATCGAACTATAACCGATGCCGCTATATACGTAGTAGTACGTAGTACGTAGTAAAAAGGGGCTAAAACTCATGAAAATCAAGAAAGTTCTGATATCGCTATATTAAGTATAGCCAGATTGAAACCTGCTGCTACCAAACCTCTTTGCCTCCGAGAGCTCCACAGCCAACCAGTAAGTAAAAAACGCCCCTGTCCTACTCCTGATGATTTATGCTAAAAGACTCTAATTGGCAGAGAGGCAAAGCATATTGTAGCATAGTTATCGTACTGAGTCATCCTAAATATAGAGTCAGCGCCATAGCTAAGATTTTACTATGGTGGACAGTTTCAAAGATAACTATCATTAACCTTCCAACTTGTTTGGTATTAAAGGCAGTGTTATCTCAACTTGCGGATACTATATTCGGGTTAGTTGAAGTGAAGATTCGAACTTAGTCCTTAGCCCGGCCCTCACCTGTCGTAGTACAAAGTATATCCTTAATTTCGTCTATCGCTTCCTCTTTAATGCAATTCTTTTGATTTAACATGATATTTACCGCCGCCCTTATTCGACTCGAGATATTTGAATGCATTTCCAACAGCTACATGATCAACCTTATAAAATCATTGCAAAACGATCAATAAACCTTCCATACAGACCCTCTATTCCCTACACTCGCAACCACCAAGCCCTACTCTCTGCACATTACGAATTTTACGAATTCACTACTTCTCTTGTCCTCTAAGTATACGTTAAGGTGGTCTACGCTATAAGTAGTACAACTATATTCGGTGAAGATAACTTAATTTGTGAACTCAGCTTTCGAAACCCATTTGCGCGATTTAATTAAGTGATGAATCGTGAAGATAACTCAGTTGTTAACCCCCAAGTTGCGTTAACTCAGTTTCGAAATCCCTCTACGGAGTACGGAAGGAACCGAGCGCATGTATGCGTGCATGCATCTCCAGCCGCGCCATGCATCTCAGCTGTGGGACAAGGCTGAGGAGCCCCAAATCAGCGGGTAAATACCAAAGTAAGAGACGAGGGATAATCAAAACATAGCCTGGATAAAACAAAATAATGATATGCAATGTCTCGTGACGGCATTGATGACTCTGATCGGATGGCTGAACTGACTGACCGATGAACTGACTGACTGACTGACTGACTTTGAATCTGCACCTAAGGTATATTCACGTTCAGGGGTTCGCTCGTCTATTTTGTTTGGTAGGTAGGTACTGTAAATAAATACACGGAAGAAAGATGAAAAAGGGGGAGTCGCTAATTAATGATTTAAGCGACTGAAGGCGAAGGCTCCACTTGCCATTTAAACGTCGTTACGCGAGAAAATAAGGAAACGCACAAGCTTCAAGAAAGAAGAAGAGAAGAAGGTAGAGATGATTGGTTGTACTCTGTACAGGGTAGGTGATTTTAGATTAGTCTTTTTTCTTTTTAATAATGTTTCCGATCCGATCTTGCAGCGCCCGTTTCATGTTCATTGGGCGTGTGTGCCTGGGGCGTGAAATTACGATCTGGGCAGAGATGAATTCCTGTTCTGGGACTCTGTATTCTCCAAGTGATAATGTATTGTATTTCTCATGTCCTGCGCAGCAGACATTGACTTGTCTGAGTAAATAGAGAATTTCGCTTGACGGCTCTAAGAGGTATGATAGCTCTGTGAAGATGGAACGGGCAGGGCTGTGCAGGAGAGGGTTTCCCTAGGAGGGCAAACCCAATAGCATAATCACCGTTTCATATTATTGTTGATGTTGATGTTGTTGGTCTTGTTGACGTTATTGTTGTTGATGTTGTTGTTGTTGTTGTTCTTCCCCTACGCTTGACTTCTTCGCCATTGATGGCTACCAAATCTCCAGTCTCGATGCAGCTTAGATTGCGAAAAGAATATCTTCCATCCCATCAATCCACGTGCATGCCCAGATCCCGGATCCATCCCAACCGTATTCCGTACGGAGTCAAGTGTCAAGGGCGGAACCCCACACTCCCAAGCACCATTGACAAGCAGACAAGCATGGCCGCAGTCTCGGGTAAGTTAGTAAGCTGAAGGGGATAAACAGCCTGAACTGACAAAACGGGAGTCTATGATGGAGATATAACCTTCGCGGTCCGACGCGGTAAGGTGTCTCTTCTCTGTTTCTCCCTCTCCCTCACAAACCTCCTCCCTCTCCGAATTTCATTGACATATCCACTCACAGCAATGTTGGGCCTCACTCTCCTGGCGGCTGCGCTCGTGCCGTCCGTCTACTCCCAGGCCACCTTCGACAACCCGGCCCTGTACGCCGACTTTGCCGACAACGACATTTCCACCGGGCCCGATGGCGGCTATTACTTCTCGGCCTCAAACATGCACTACTCGCCCGGCGCCCCGATCTTGCGATCCGACGACTTACTCAATTGGAAACTCATTGGACACTCGGTCCCCACGCTGGCGACCTTTGGCTCGAAATATGAGAGTGCGTAACTTGACCCGGGCACCTGACCTTCACCTCGCTTGACTTCACTTACTGACAACAAGACAGTGACCGGCAATCTGGCCTACACACGAGGCACCTGGGCCTCGACCATGCGATACCGCCCGAGCAACGGCCGCTGGTACTGGTACGGCTGTACCGACTTCACCAACTCGTGGGTCTTCACCGCGTCGTCGCCCGAGGGCCCCTGGGACAACGGGAAGAAGATTTCCGGCACCTGCTTCTACGACTGCGGTCTGCTCGTGGACGACGATGACACCATGTACATCGTCTACGGCAAGAACGACGTGAACGTGGCCACCATGTCCAAAGACGGCATGAGCATCAGCAAGACCACCCCGGCATTTGCGCTGCCACAAGACGGCCTTCAGTACATCGAGGGCAACCGCATGTACAAGCGAAAAGGCATCTACTACATCCTCGACAACGACCCGAATACCAGGACGACGATGATCTGGAAGTCCGACAAGCCCACCGGCCCATGGGTCCGCAAGAACCTGGGGGTCAACGTCAAGGGCCCCCTCCCCCCGTTCACCGTGCCGCACCAGGGCAGTCTGGTCGAGACGCCCGGGGACCACTGGTTCTTCATGTCATTCCAATGGATCTTCCCGGCCGGTCGAATCCCCGTGCTGGCGCCCATCTCCTGGGGATCTGACGGCTATCCGATACGTGAGTGGGCCCCTTCCCCATTGTATGCTGGGAGTGAGATCTACGGGAGGAACCAGCCGTGACTTACCAACCGCTGACAACTACTCCAGTGAAAACCGAGAGTGGCAACAAATGGGGCCTGACCTACCCGGAGCCCATCTCGCCGCAGGTCTTCACGCCCAGCTGGCAGCGCAACGACACCTTCTCGGGCAGCAGTCTCGACGTCCACTGGGAGTGGAACCACGCACCGGACCCCTCGGGCTTCAGCGTCAAGAACGGCGTGACCCTGCGCACCGTCACCGTCACGAAGGACCTCTTCAAGGCGCGCAACACGCTCACCCACCGGACCTTCGGCCCGCGCTCCGTCGCCACCATCACGCTCGACATCAGCAAAATGGCGGACGGCGACGAGGCCGGCCTGGCCTCCTTCCGCGACTGGACGGCCACCATCGGCCTCGTGCGCACCGGCGGCACCTTCCGCATCCAGAACATCCAGGGCATGACCCAGGACCCGACCAAGTCCTGGGCCACCCTCGACACGGGCAACACCATCGCCACGGCCACGCTCCCCGGCGACACGACCACCGTCTACCTGCGCGGCACCATGATCCTCGGCGGCGACTCCTCCAAGGAGTGCTCCTTCGAGTACAGCCTCGACGGCCAGTCCTTCACGGCCCTCGGCGACGGCTACACCATGAACTCCGACTGGCGCTACTTCCAGGGCCAGCGCTGGGCCATCTACAGCTTTGCTACCAAGGCCCTGGGCGGCTCGGTGACGCTGAAGAAGTTCGAGATGTCGGGCTGAACGTCTCTTCTCTCTTCTTCTTCTCCTCCTCCTTCTTCTTCTACCATTCTTTTCTTGTCCACTTATACCGACTTCCCGTTTCCCGACTTTTTTTATTCTATCCCAACTCATCTCATTCGATCCGACTGGGTTCGGTTCTGCATTTCCCAGTTAGTCAGGGGAAGGAAATCCCTCGCGGGCTAGCCGCTGGTGTCGGCTATGGTGGCGGTGGTGGAAGATCCTCCTTCCTATCGGACGGGAGCTATGTCTCTAGCCATCCATCCATGTGTTTATATATATTAGACCAAACTCAAAAAGCGAATTCAAATTAAGAGAATTGAATCAAAAAAGTTTTAAAAGTCAGATCAAAAAGTTCACCAAAACTTCTCCGCCGACTCAATTCTCTTCTTCTATTTGAACAAAATTTGAACAAAGATCATATATATATACCTTATATAAGGTATATAAATCAAAAACCCAAAAATGTAAAAATCTCTCAAAGGCCAAACCCAAACAAAGGAAGCGGAACTTAGTCGCTAGAGCCATCTATCTACTCACCCCTCGGGGTATCATCTATTCATCTATCCATTTGGAAAGATAAATAGATCCCAAGATCAAAATAGGGATGGGATTTATTCGGTTGATAAGCATCTCGGGCAAGTAAATACAATAAAATCAGAAACAGAAATCGGAGGTCGGCTTGAAGGAGAGGTAATCCATCATCGTCCATAAGAGTTTGGTTCGACTTGGTTGGGTTGGGTTGGGTTGGGTTGGCGGCTGGATATCTAGCTGTGCTTTGTTCATGTCTAGAGTATTGCATCTGAGCTACCTACCGGCTGAGTTTGAATTGCTGAGGGGTGAGGAATGAGGAGTGGGGACTCGTTAGTTGTCGAATGATAGCCTTTTTTTTTTCCTTCCTTTTTTTTTTTTTTTTTTTTTGAAATTCCGACTAGAAGCCGATGAAGAATCGAAAGGGGTTGAAAGTATAATGGGTTAAAAGTATATTTGCGGAAACAGGAGGGATAGAAAACCGGGTGAATGTCCTGTTCTGGCTGGGTGATAGCTTTGATTTCTAGTTGTATTACTTATTGGAAAGCTGGCGAAAAAAAAAATCGATTGACACTAGCGCCGCATATTCGAATCGAGAGCCCGAAATCACGAACACTCAATCGTATTTGGCATCCACAGTCCCCATCTCCTTTCCCTTGACTTCCAGCGAGAACTTCATGACCGCCGGCTTGATGGTGATCACAAGATCATAGCAAACATCGTAGTAGATCTTGCCATCTTTGCCGAGGACCCACCTGAAATGGCTTCCGTCAACGCTCCTCAGGTCGGCTGTCAACACGCAATTGGTCTTGGTGGCTCCGCTGGTGGGGTAGACTGGAGCAAGCATTTTCTCGCTCTGGATGAGGCAGTCCTTGAACACCAGCTGCGCGGGAGTGAAGCCTTCAGGCAGAGAGCGGACGAAAGGGAACTTGATGACCTGCTCGCGCACGAGATCCTCTCCGCGGAGGATGTACCATGTCATCTGCAATTGCCGGTCAGCGATGCTCTTGCCAGAGATCAGAGACTGGGAATGTATGGAGAGAGAGGAGGGAGGGTGCCTGCCTTTTCCACCCTGAAGGATCCTATGATGGGACAGAAGACTTTTGCTTGGCCGACGTCTTGGATGGGATCGAAAATGCTCAATGCAGATACGCCGTAATGTCTGGTAGCTTGGTTTGAGACGACCAAAGTCTCTTGTGGCAGCTCGCTCAGGACAGCACCCCTTGAATACAGTTAGAGTGAATCATGAGCTCTTGATGGAAAGGCTCACTTGACAATGGCAGCCCAGGCACCATGCGGCTGGATAATCTGAATTCCAGGATGGTCCCTCTCCAAACAAGATTTCAGATACTCGCTCGAACCAAATCCTCCAACTAGGAAAATTGCCTAAGAGAGTTCAGCATGCTCAACACGATTTTTTTTAGGTGCTATTATGCATACCTTGATTTTCTGCGCCTCCGGATGGCTCTCGGAGAGTCTCTTCACCCTGACGAGATTGACTTGCTCCTCGACGAGTCTTTGTATATCACTGATGAGCGGGTCAAAGATATCCTTGACGTCGGACCTTCTCAGAGTTAGCTCTTGGGACAATCATAAGTGGACGAGATAGAGTCACCCCGTCATATTCCAGCAATTGGATATGAGGTTGTTGGCGGGGTCATCAGCGAGGCTAGCCATGGGGAAGTTGATGTAGTAGTCCTCATCCAGATCTCCCCGGAAGGCCGTCTTGACAGACCGATCGAATTGCTGGACAGCCTGCGCGTAGCCCTTGGTCTTTCGCAAGCTGTAGAACTGGTCCTCGCCGACGAGGTTTCGGACTGCCTCTTCGAATCGCTTGTTGAGACCGAGGGACCCAGCCATCCCACCTTTACCAGGCACAAGCTCCTTGAGCTCGAGTCTTGGTGAAAGCTGGGTGATCTCGTAAGATATCAGATCCACAGTGCCACCACCCGCGTCACAGATCACAAAGGCATCCCCAACCTTGTTTTTGCATTAGCAACGGCCAAAGTCTGACTCTCAGTACATGGGGTCACGAACGGCCAGTGCCTTATCCTGGAGCATATGCAAAGTATACATAGCCGCAGCCTCAGGTTCTTTGATCAACTTGATAGGATAAATGCCTGCACGCTTGGCAGCCTCCAATTCTATCAGCTCTGAGGTTCATGAACTTGGGTAAGGGAAAGGTGCACCTGTATGGTCACGGCCTTGGCCTTATCAGACCACACAGCGGGTACAGTAAGGACAAATTTCTTTTGGCACATCCTCAAGTAGTCCGACGGAATGGTGGACTCGATCTTCTCCATGGCATGTTGATACATGGAGCGAATGAAGTCGGCAGCTACTTCGACTGGAGGCTTCCCAAGACGCCTGAGGTCCATCTTCACTGTTGATTCGGGAAGATACAGCGGTCGTGGCTGATTGGGGTCCAGAAGGAGCTTCACGCCCTGCACGATATCACTCTTATGTTTTTGAGCACCCCAAGTGACCCCACTGGCAACACCATCGCCATAGCAGATGACGGTAGGAACTTTGGGTTGTGAGAAGCCCTCCAGGCCTAGATCTCATGGTCAGTGTAACGACGGCGCAGGAATGATTTCTCGCATACCCGGCCAATCCATGATGGAAACAATGTCTGGCTTTGGAACATTGGCGAAGGCATAAGCGATACCACTGTATGTTGTACCGAAGTCCAGTGCCACCACGAGCTGATCTTTTGCCTGATGGATGCTGCCGCGGGCGCTGGTACTTTCGGACGGCACCACCGACGCCGTCTCTGCCGGGGTATCCGCGCCCATGTAAAAGTCGGGGCCTGACGTGAAGTCTGACATATCTACCGCAATTGGTGAAGAAGATGTACTTCCATAAAGAGGTGATACGACTGGGACAATATCGCCTATGGCTGAAGATATCGGGAGGGGAGCTCGGAAACCAGAGATGAAATAGGTACGCTCGGAAGGATACCAAGTCGGCGGAGAAAATTAACCCCGGAAAGATCTATTCTGCGAAGGGCCGTCGACCGTAAGTGCTTCAGGCACTTGAGACAGGGTCGGGGAAGTGAGAGGATGCTCGCCAGGTTTACCGCCTTTTGAAAGTTGGTGGGATTCGCTGGTTAAACGCTTGTTCAAGAACACCAAGCCAGATGCCGCTGTGGTTCCAGGAGCTGGTATCGATAGGTAGGTAGTAGTATGAATGACAGATGTCGTAGTCCATGCCACTGTCTCTGATGGCGTGCAGAGAGCCGCAGCGAGCCACAGAGAGCAGCACAGAAGGTCGATTATTTCCCATGCCTCGAAGATTGTGGAGTTGTTTTTCCTATGCCTCAACCCACTTTTTGAGTGGGCCGCCCAGCAAAATAAGCACGTGCGGAGGCCCACCTAAGCGAGCCGACGATTAGTACGTAGTATTAGCTAAAACTCAAACTCAAGAATAACCATCATTCCAATTTCAAACTGAGTTCAAATTGCGGCTGCCAAGAGCTCAAACTTGTCAATATCACGACTGTTGATAAAAAGGATACAGACACTGATCTGTTCAACCTCCCCCATAGGTATATCAAATCAGGTGGACCAACGTTTCCGCGAATGCATACATCTACCACCGACCCCAGATTTGATCAGAGTGATACTGGTATGCGAGACGTGGATGATCCGGATATAGGTGGGGCTCAAATCGCTCAACCCCTTGACATCCATCAGCGAGATGTTCATGGGACTGCACAGATCCAAATCCCAGACCTGGGGACCACACGAATAGAAATCCAAGACCCGGGGAGGGGCTTCAACGATCGCCGTCACGTAGTTCAAGAAGTGCACGACGTTGAGCAAGAAATCAGGATGGGATTTCAGCCGAGTAAAGTTTCGCGACATCGTTTGTCGGGTGACCATGGAGTAAATAATCAATTTCATCTTTACCCGCTCTCCAAAACACAGCAGCTTCAACTAACCCAACACACAGGAGATCATGGCTAGCCAGCACCACCCACAAGATACGGGGCCAGCGCTAGAAGCCAAGGACCGCGGGCTGGCCGGAATGCAAGAAAGAACAAGCAGGTTGCAACAGGAATTAGACCAGGAAAAGTTGGAGCGCACTCAAGAAAATCAGAAATACCATGCTGCTCAGCGCTCCTGGACCGAGGAATTAGACAGAGCTAAGATGGCGGTTCACAAATTGTCAGCCCGTAACGAAAAATTGAAAACAGCATGCGAGAATATGCAGGAAGACATGAATGCGGCGAGCGAACGGCACGAATTTATGATGTTCCAACAAGACAGCCTTGGAAGTCGCTTGAGGGAGTCTGAGGAGGAAAGGCAAAGATTACAAGCGTTGACCGTCGTGCTACGTGGCATGGTTACCAAGAATAGCGAGCCCGACGGAGAGCGAATGGATGATAACGCTATCGTTGGTAAATTCATCAAGCTCAGAGAACAGGTGCAAAGGATAGCCAGCAAGCTCTGCTTCTCAGAAGGAAATGGGAATGCAGTATTGACTCAAGAAATGAGTGACGCACAAAGAGACTTTGAGTACTGGAAAGGGCTCAGCCAGGCACAGCTCCTGAACCGGATAAGAACCAATATTTTCGAACTGATCCATAGCGAAATCTTAGGGAGACCATTGTTTGGCTTGGAGGGCCTGCAAGACACCTCCGGTCTGGAGCACGGACTTAGCAAATTCGAGACGGCACTCAATAACCTAAACCCAGGTACGTAAGCAAAAGTATCTTAGGCAAGTAGAAACCTGACTGTATCCCAGGTCATAAAGCAGCCGTTTTGGAATGGAGAGTACGGACTGTTCGATGTGCGTCTTTGTTAAACATCGACAACCCAAGGGCGGAGGAGGTAGCCAAATACATTCATGAGTTCATGAAACCGCTAATTACTTCCGACGCCCTGGATACTCAGCTGCGTACTCTGATCTTGAAGCTTTGCAACGATTCAATGAGTTTCGCTTTGCTTCTCCGCTCGTTCAAAGACCTGTACCGATGCGAGATGCCAGATATCCATAGTCCCCTTAATGACGACTCCGAGGAACAGTGTCCCGAGCCATATCGGAATGGCGACCCACACGCTGAAGGAGACGTTGCCTTTGTTTTAGCCGGATCGCTAGTAAAGTATCCTGAGCTTCATCCTGAGAGGCGACTGGTTCTGGAGAAGGCACATGTAGTGGTCTTCAAAAAGACGGAGTAGTTGCATTGCCAGGTCAAAGAACAATGATCATAGGAGAAAGATCATAGAGACGAGGAGTGGCTCGCTATAGTATTGCAGTAATCAAATGATGAGCTTAGTAGTAGACGGCGATGGGCCCTTGGTTAGAGAACGACCTGAACATTGATTATTCATCCAGGTATGCTCTTGAACATCAAAAGACGGTTCGAACGATGCAGTAGAGCTAGTCACTGACTATAATTAAATGTAATTGCTCTGCTTTCTACGTACCAATTATCGGAGCTCTATTTTAGATACAACACTTGTTATAAATCGAGAATTCTATCATGGCCGGTAACGAGATGAGGAGGAGGAATCTGGAAGTGATGTATGTGATGTGGTCTACATCTCACGTGCCTAAGAACCACTCAACGCGACAGCGCGAGAAAATGAAGCGCGTCGCGTAGAATCTCTCGAACCTCATTGCCAACCACAACAACTACACTCAAGACCCTATCCACACTCCAGACCCTCTCAACGCCAGCCATAATGTCTGACTACGAAGATGATGATATGGACGTTGATGCGCCCGCGGCGCAAGACACTGTAATGTTCAGTTCTGACAACACCAATTCCAAGGGCAAGAGGAGCGCAGCAAACCTCCCCGTTGAAGCAGAAGACAGTCTGCCATGGTAGCAGAACCCATACCCACTCTCTGAATCCTGCTGATATACGTCAGGGTTGAAAAATATCGCCCAGACACCCTCGAAGACGTCTCCGGCCACCAAGACATCCTCGCCACAATCACCAAATTCGTTGACACAAACGTAAGGAGACCCTAAAATACCACGGAAAGACCTCTGACTCTCCCCAGAGGCTTCCTCATCTCCTCCTCTACGGCCCTCCGGGAACGGGAAAGACATCCACAATTCTTGCCCTCGCCCGCCAGATCTACGGCTCCAAGAACATGCGCCAGATGGTGCTCGAACTCAACGCCTCGGACGACCGCGGCATCGACGTAGTCCGCGAGCAGATCAAGACGTTTGCCAGCACGAAGCAGATCTTCACCATGAACAAGACGTCCACGTCTGCCTCGATGCCCACGTACAAGCTGATCATCCTGGACGAGGCTGATGCCATGACCTCCACAGCCCAGATGGCATTAAGACGGATCATGGAGAAATATACGGCGAACACACGTTTCTGCATCATTGCGAATTATACGCACAAGCTCAGTCCGGCGCTGCTCAGTCGCTGTACACGGTTCAGGTTCAGTCCGTTGAAGGAGGCGGATATTCGGGTTTTGGTGGACAAGGTTATCACGGAGGAGAATGTGCAGATCAATGAGTCGGCGACAGATGCGCTGGTGAAGTTGAGTAAGGGAGATATGAGAAGGGCATTGAATGTGTTGCAGGCATGTCATGCAAGCAGTAGGCCCCCAAAGCTATTGCGAGCTGGTGCACGATTGTTGACATAGACAGGTACACCCCTCCACATCAAAGGCACGCCCAAAATCGCCGAGAAGGACATCAAGCGCGACCTCATCACGGAAACCACTATCTATGAATGCATCGCCTCTCCGCACCCAGAAGACATCTCCAAGATCCTCAACACCTTGCTCAAGACTCCCGACGTCACGACGTGCCTGACGATGATCAATGCCTTAAAAGCCAGCCAAGGTCTGGCGTTGGCGGACATCATTACAGCCTTGAGCGAAGAGCTGACCAAGCTGGATGTTCCGGCGCCGGTGATGATTACGTGGCTGGATGGCTTGGCAGAGGTCGAGTATAGGTTGAGTGGAGGAGGGGGGGAGGTCGTGCAGACAGGCGCTGTAGTGGGCGTTGTGAGGAACGGGGCGGAGCTCATGGTCGGAGGTAAATGATTGACGACGGATGGAGGTCTTGCATAGCCTGGCGTTCTCGGGTTGGGATGGGATATCGCGGGGCATGTCAGCATGGCTTTAGGTCAGATGTTGTTGTCAAGTACCCGCATCGAGGCGCAAGTGATGCATATTCTCCTTGCCATCATTATCATATGCTGCTCTACGCTCTCCTGTTTCATTGTTTTGGTGCCGGCCCTTTCTATCCGCCAAGCTGGACATCTCTTAAGCGAGCTCCATGTCCTACCTTCCTACTCCGATCCCTCGGTCCTCGCGCGCTTCCAAATTGTGTCAAGTGTGTTAGTGCAGTGGGCGGTACCCACGTCGCCTGGTTCTTAAAGCTTCCCTCTCCTCTTGTCTCCACTTCCTCTCTTTTTGACCACCCCTCCAATCACATATGACACCCCCTGTCGTCTTACGCCAACGAACGCCAGCCATCAGTCTCAATGCCGCCTCACTACCAACGCAAGCTAGCAGAGAAGGGAAGGCAGCTTTCAAATCCGTAAGAAGCACGGGGCGCAGAGGCGGAGAGGAGGATGGTGGGATGAAGTCGACGGACGGTAGGTGTCGTGCTTTGCTGTGGCTCGTAGTGGAGATGGAGATGGAGATGGAGATGGAGATGGAGATGGGAACGGGAATGGGAATGGAAACGGGGTTGAGCAGAGTGCTGGCTGGCCGGGCAGAGGGAGCTCATGATTTCATATTGTGTTACGTGGTATGATATCTTATAACATGGAGGTTGGTAGCTAGCTCGTCAATCTAGGTAGGCCAGCCAGCAAGGGAGGGAGGGATGGAGGGCAGGAAAGGGTCGCCTCACGTTTGAGAAGAGCACACGAGACGCTCTATATCTATCACCTTCAAGTGCAAAGAATTCGACAGTGACTGCGGATGTTTGGCTGCTGGGATCACACAGGATGGCCTCGAGTCGAGAACCGCTCGCGGTAGATGGTACTGTGTTTTGCCGGAGCCGGCAATATGTTTGATCGGATGTCGATTTTCCTGACTCCTGTGTCTCTGGGCGGCCAGGATAGGAAAGACCACCTTTTTTTTTTTTTCTTTTTTCTTCTTTTTTTTCTTTTTTTCCAAACAGCCTTACACCCCACGGGAGAGATGGGCACATGGCCTGCCACTCGACGCCACTCCACTCGTCTCGTGCCAACTTCCGCGTCGACTGCCGTGGCGGCGCCGCCTCCGAGATGGGAACATCCCGCTCTCGCTTGGTGATCTCGATTCTCGAGAGCCGATCGGCAAATTCCCAAAACAAAAAGTGTCGGACGAGCTCAGGGCACGGCGCACTGCGCTGCATTTGAGACGGCGTGTCCCGAGAGGCTGACGGGCGGGAAAAGGCCATGTTCCATACCACGAGCCGACCCCGCCCTGGTTCGCTCCTTGCGAAGAGGTGCCTGCTTTCGTATAATATAATACTATAATACGACAAACAACGCGTGCACTCTCGCACCCTTTGTGGATCTGGAATTTGGAAGTTGGAATTTGGAATTTGGAATTTGGAATTTGGAATTTGCGGCATCGTATCATATATTTATTTCTTACACAGACCCGTCCAGCCAGCAGTCCGTCGTCACGAAAGGTGTTCCTGCTGGCCGGTGACTGGCACGCCTCACTGCTCGCCCCGGAGAACGAACGCACCGCTTATGCAGGACCAGGACCAGACGCGAAGCGAACAATGGACGACGTGTGTGCAGCCGCGGACTCTCTCACCGATTGGAGTCAGTGGAGCGGGTTCGGAGCTTCAGGAGATCGAACTGGCAGCGTGGAGGCCCGCGATCATACCGAGGGGCGGGAAAAGCCGAAACGGCCTTGCCGGCAGCAGTTCAGGAGGTGGCGGGTCCCCTTCCCAGCTCAAGTCATCCGGCCATGCTGACCTCGGACATATATAGACCTCGCGCCGGCCGCGCGTGTGGCGTAAGTAAACTACCGCCCCTTCGTGTTTACTTACCAATGCTGATTCGCAGTCCTGTCATTCACGGCGGGTAAGGATGTGTTCACGCTGCGCTGCGCTGCGCTGCGCTGAGCTGACATAGAATAGATCCGGTGCGATGCAGGCAGTCTCGGCCTGCCTTGTACAAACTGTACAGCCAATTCGGTGGATTGCTTCATCCCCCCGAAAAAGAGGAAGAGCATCGCCCCAAGTGATATGATACGGTAATGCCCATCCCCCGTCCACCCACCCCCTTATGTACCGAGTACCGAGTACCCAAACCAAACCCAAACCCAAACCCATCCCATCCCATCCCATCTCATCCCATTCTGATCCACGCACCACAGCCAGCGCCATAGATCCAGCTACGAACGCAGCAAGGCCGACATCCATCCCGATCCCGACCCTCGGGATGCCATTGACCACCAGCGCTCAGCCCACGGCGAGATCGAGGATAACCTCCAGAGCCTCAGAGACGAGGGCGCCTTCACGGGCTTGTACGCCGGCATCGCTCGGCAGAATTCCATCGACGCCTCGCGCAAGGACTCGGAGAGCTCCTCCTCCTCCTCCCCCTTCTCGACGTCCGGCTACCTGCAGAACATCTCCCAGCGGCTGGCGCCGGATCTCTGTCTGCCGGCCGCTCGTCGCCGGAGCTCGAGCCCCATGATGGGATTCTCGCCCGAGAACGTGGACAGTCGGGCGTGGATGGACGGGACGCCGGCGTTCTCGCCGGCGCCGAGGGGTAGCAATGTGGAGGAATGGTAGGTAGGTACGTAGGTACGTAGGTACGTAGGTCAGCCGGGCGGGCTCGCTGCCGTGCTGTATGTCTATGATGATGATGATGATGATGGCCTTTTTCAAAGTCATGAGGTCCAAGGTCCTCGGGGCTAGAAGCGTGCAGGAACCAGGGATTCAGAGAAGTTGCTTCCCCTGGACCGCAGGCTGAGCGAGCGAGCGCATTCCCAATGGCTCGCACCGAGGCAACGAGGTTTTGCAATCGGGAGAACGCACTCTGGGCTCGAGGCTGCATGTGGGCGCTTGCCCGGCCCTTTGTGCGCGGTGGGATCAGCAGCTCACCCGGCGGCAAGGCTGGGAGACGCACTCTGCTATCCACCTATCTACCTATCTATCTAATTGTATCTCTATCTCTCTGTCTATGTAGATATAAGATACAAAAATCGATAAAAATCATTCCACCGAGCCGAGTCTAGACGCGAAGACACAAGAATCGAACTTGATCCAATACTTCGTATTTAGATACCAATGCAGCCAGCTCTATATCTCTTTGCTAGCTAACCTTTCGTGTGTTTTGTGTTTCTTGTTTCCGCGAGCGACGATGCTATGAAGCCTACGGGAAAAAAGGGAGGGGAAGGGGAAGGGGAAGGGGAAGGGGAAGGGGAAGGGGAAGGGGAAGGGGAAGGGGAAGGGGAAGGGAAAGAGAAAGAGAAAGAGAAAGAGAAAGCCGAGACTCGGCCGGCAACGGCGATTCTTTTTTTTTTCTATGCGTATTGAAAGGAGAGATCGAATTGGGTGTGAGCCGCTGGAGCGTACCACTTACTTATTGGTTTAGCGACTGTTTTTTATTAACTTTGTTGACTTTGCATGGCGAGACTCGCTTGGAGGCTTGGAGAGGGAGAGGGAGAGGAAGAGGGAGAGAGGGAGAATTGGGCCTGAGCTCTGGGATGGGAAATTGGGAATTGGAAATTGTGAGATACAGGAAGGATAGAAAGCTCTATACAGAAGACAAGAAGAGGATGGTATATATATTATTGTATTCGAAGCACGCTCTCCCCCCTTCCTTCCCCCCCCCTCCCCATCCACAGCCAAATTACCGCCCCGGCTACAACGGCCGATACATCCCTTTCCGCCTCGCCGTCAGGGTCCGGTAGAGCTCCAGACACTTGCTCTCCAGCCAGCGCGCGAAGCGCACGCTGCCCTGGTCCACGAAGCGCTCCACCAGCGCGGCAAAGGCGAACACCACCGTCGTGAACGGGACGTACCAGAGCAGGGAGATGGCCCAGTACAGCCAGGTCATGGAGTGGGTCGGCACGCCAAAGAGCCACAGCAGGGCGTTCTGCAGCCACAGGCCGAAGACGATCACGCACAGCTGGTGCACCAGGTACAGCGAGAAGGCGATCCGGCCCAGGTACTGGCAGAGGTTGCTCTCGAAGACGCTCCGCAGGGCCGGCAGCTGCGAGACGCAGAAGAGCAGGCCGACGCCGGCGAAGGACCACCACCAGCGCGCGTGGTCCATCATGTTCAGGCTGACGGGGATCAGGGCGCGCAGCGTCTCGTAGCCCGGCATGGGCCAGCGGTGCGCCTCCTCGTACGAGAGCGTCGGGAAGCCGGCGAGGTACAGGGCCGCGACGAGGATCGCGATCCACAGCGTGCGGTGCTTGGGCGGCCGGAGCCCCGGCCGCGACCCGTCCGCCTCCTGCGCGAGGTTGTAGTCGGCGAGCAGCATGCCCGCCGCGAAGCAGAACGCGTTCCAGCTGCCGAGGAACATGGCCGCCACGGCGAACAGGGCCACGAGCGCCATCCGCGCGCCGTGGCGGGGCAGCCGCGCCACGAGGAGGAGCAGGATGTAGACGGTGAAGGAGCCGTAGAACTCCAGCGGGATCGTCCAGATCACGGGGTCGTACTTGGGGTGGATGACGAAGCCCTGGATGGCCGGCACGAAGTTGTAGTACGGGTTCACCAGGTAGCACGTCTCCTTCAGCCAGTCCAGGAGCGCCGCCCCGAACGTGGCCTCCGGCACGAAGTCGAAGTTCAGCGGCGGCGAGTACCCCAGCCGGGTCACCAGCATCTCGACGAAGGTGAGCAGGATGGGCGGCAGGTAGAGCCGGAAGCCGCGCCGGAACATGGACGACGCGACCGACGGGTACACGTGCTGCGGCGTGCCGGCGCGCATCCAGCGGAGGGACTTGTAGGTCAGGACGTAGCCCGACAGGACGAAGAAGACGCAGACGGCCGTGCCGCCCGTGACGAAGAAGCTGCGGATGACCGGGAGCTGGATCAGGCTCATCTGGTCCGACTGCGCGCCGAAGGCCGGGAAGATGGTGCGCCAGCAGCTGATGGTGTGGAAGACGTAGACCTCGAGCGCGGCCACCCCGCGGACGCCGTCCAGCCACGAGGTCGGTTTGAGCTTGAGCGAATCCGGCGCTGGGTATCGGAGGAAGGTCTGGAGGAACCGCGACGATTCGATCCGGTGGAAGACGGACCGGGACTTGTCCTCGTAGGGGGAGAGGTAGTCGTCGGCGCTGGTCAGGGCCGCGGCATTGTACTCCTCCTCCTCCTGCTCGCGGAGGCGGAACGTCGGAACGTCGATGCTGGCACGGTGGAATGCCAGCTTATGATGTCCCAATCCCATGATGACAGTTTGCCACAGGTGCATCATCAACCGGATCGACGTGTGGACTGGAGTGAAGGCCTAGGTGGTGGTTGTGCGAGCAGCGGGTGAGAATGGCGTCGTCCGCTCCAGCATCCGCCCTGATATTGTGTTTACTGAGAATGTTTCCCTCGATAGGTAGTCGATCACAACGGAGAGAGAGAGAGAGGAAGAGAGAGAGAGAGAGAGAGAGAGAGAGAGGCTTTGGGGAGAGAAATCTTCTTCTCGAAATATCAGCGGAGGAGCTCCAGGTAGCGGTCGAGAGAACCGGGTTTCATCATCACATGCCGTTTCACCTCTCGAGCTGGTGCGAGGCGGGGCGGATGCCTGTGCGCAATGCTCTCCGACGAATGAAGTGTTGGGGATGTTTAGATCTTCGCATCGCATCTAGCATGAACGAGCGTGTCGTCTTGCTTCCCCTGGAAGTCAGAGCCCGAGGATCAGAGCTGAGCATTGGGGCGCAGTTTGGATCGCTAGTGCATAGGCGATTGCTCGCGGGTATTCACCAGTCGCAACACTGCCAGAAGAGAATGCGGTAGTGATAGCGAGAGATTCCAGCGTCAGAAAAAAGCTCGCCTGGTGTACCGCTACCGGTACCGGTACGTGGAGGAGCGGATTCCTTGGTACGTGGTCCCGCAGGGGTTTGATCTCGCTAAAGCTCGCTTCGTTTCTCCGAAGTCAATACAAACAACAATCGATACAATCGAGGGATCCTGGCACTGAACGTAAGCACATCTAATAACGAGCCACGCTCCATCCTGATCGATAAACATTCTTCCGGCCTGCTGAACGCAACACACGCAGAATCAATCCACAGTTAAGCGTCCTCGTTGCAAACACAACACCCACCATGACTCCTTCGAAGCCCCACCTGCCTCCACATCACTAGACAATATTTCACGAGACCCTTGCTCGATTTCCTCACCCGTATACCGCCTGCTGCCTATCCTCTAGCCTCTTCCCCCAGTCTCAATCAAAAGACGTTCCGATGAGTCGAGCCGGGAAATAGTCCCACGATCTCCGTCCAGATCCAGGAGGTTCGCTCCACCCACGACTTGCGCCACACATCCGCAAGATGGGCCGCAGGCGCCCGTACGGCGCGCTACGCATCTCGGACTCGCCAGGGCATACACCACAGCTGATTCATAGGTGTTGTCACTTGTTGCCATGGAGCTGCGCGCTGGAAAACGCGCCAGGGAGCTTTTCTTCCGGGGCCACCTTTTCGGATACGATCTTGTTAAAAAAAAAAAAAGCGATCCGCTAATACTGCTATAAGCTATACGAGCATGGTAGAAAAGCAACTCTTTTCACAATGCGCGCGCTTTTAACGTCGTGTAGAGATCATAGCCTTCCTTTTTCTTCTTCTTCTTCTTTTTTCGTATCAGAGACTTGAATCCCCAAAAATTAGCTCTGCCGAACCCCCCCGACTTTTTACACATTCTCACTCACGACCAAGCCAATGGATGGAGCGCGTGAGACTCGGATCCGCCTACCGGAAAGGAACATGGAGGCAATTAGTTCGAAGGGTTGCAAAGGGATATGAATCCTCCGTCGTATCGATTTTCAATTTTGGATCGGGAGCCTGCTCAAGCGTTTGCTGCAGTTGAAAACGCTCGCTTGGCGCGCGAAGGTCACCTTGGGATTTGTTTTTACGTGATTCTGTGATTGAAAGCTGGGTTGGAAGGAGAAACGTGTGGCTGTGTCGATTTTTTGTTTTTTAAAATTGATTTCTTTTGTTGAAGTGGTGATTCAGGTGGGATGAATGAATGGCTTGATCGTAGGTAACGAATGCTGCGAGGCGAGTCTGATTAGATGTGATCTGTGAGAAAAAATCGGATGTAAAATCAAAAGCCAAGTCAACTGATTCTATGCGAAAGGATACCGACTTTGCTTACACATAGTAGTTGTTAAAATACGTTGCGTTGTGTGTAATTTTTTTTTGGTATGTATGTAGAATGCTATATTTTCGGTGTTTTAACTATTTGAAGCAGGATACTGTCGTGGCCTTAGGCCACCAGGCTACTACAGGTGGCACAGACCACTTGAGAGGGTATATAGCAGCCTTACGTTGCTTTGAGCTTCCAACAATAACAACCACCTTGCTCACTATTATCCTTTCCTTATATTGTCTGATACTTGCTTGATCTAAGACACTTGCTTGTTTTGATTATTACCGAGAACCCGCAGGTAACAGTCAGCGCACTGACTATTAGTATTGTCAAATCCCGAAATGGCTATAAAGTTAGCGTCGAAGTTCAGCACTTGCGGCTCTCGGACGCTGTGAATGGACTCGCTCCTATAAGGAGGGGGAAGAGGGAAGGACGGCCCAGGAGATTATGGGACAGTGCGACGGTCCAGGAAATTTGCAAAGCCCAGCCCAATCATGATCCGGTGTACGGTATCAATAAGAGGGACTGATTGAGACTTCAGATAAAGTTTGCAAGAGGTTGTCAGTCGGCCTTTCATAGTGCTCAAATCAGCAGGCCGGCCTGATCTTTTTCACGCCATCTGATTTGTCTGCATCTATAAAGCCCCATTGGATTTCCTGGAGAGACACTTTCCAGAAATATAACAGCATATAAGAGCTGCAGAACAGACGGCTTAGGAGAATGAGACTTGGCTCCCGAAGGGATATGTCCCACGTGACTCGTTTTAGTTCACGACACTAGTGCGATGGAGAAACAGAACGAAACGAAAGAGAACAGAACGAAACGAAATAACCACAATGAGCATTCAAGTAATCTCCAAACTACCGATTCGATACCAACGTCAGGCTCAATTGTTACTAGCAGCGGACTCGCCGGCACAATCAAGACCTTCTCGGGCGCGTTCCTGGAAGCACCGAAGGTCAATGGGATGTACGAGATTTAATGATTGAAAGGGTAGGGCTTCCTTGGACTTTACATCGAGTATACTGCTGACCATGTTATCCCTAGGATAAATGTCGCCTTCGACCTCAAGGTGGCAGGCACTCTGTACCGCTCATGTCCTAGCTCTTGGGAATGCAGCAATGAGATCTCCACGCCACCTTGGTCCGCTCTCAAGCTCTACCCCCGAATCTTCAGCTTCAGTCCGGTTCCTCCGAGCCATACACATGTGGTAAGACTCATGGCGTGCGGTATAGGGTGGTAATACTAGAAACCGCAATGTGCATTGCAGGTCTGCCTTTGCACAATAACTCGGTATCTACGGCTCTGCTCAGCGCAAGCTCTGTGATTTGCTATCCCTTCCCTCGAGGATTCTCGCTGAATTGGATACCAAGATGACCGCCACGCCAAAAGTGGCGGCTGCGATGAATCCAGGCTCCAGGGTCGGGATCAATATCGACGGCCGGATCTTGGTCACCAGGATCACCGCGGGGATGTCGCTAAGAACATAGCCGACGGTGAGTGCGTTTCTCACGTACGTGAGCTGGCTGCCTTGCATGTTGATGGCTTCGTTCATGCCGGACACATAGGCGTTATTGATGTTGGCTTGGTCGAGGCTCTTGCAGAAGTAGCCGAGACACGCGTAGGAGAGGACGAAGAAGTCGAGTTTGAAGAGGAAGTGCTCTTCTTTTGCCGGCTTGTCTTGGTCGTCCCAGATGTACAGCTGGATGGTCTGCCGTGCTCGATGAGTCTTGCCCTTCACGCCGGGATCCTTCCAGCTCTCCGAGGCTGGTGGGATATCGATCCGGGACTGGATTGGGGATGTAGCGTGCTGAGCTGCAGCCGCGACTAAGATGGAGGAGAGCTCCAAGTCGCATTTCTTTGCTTCCATTTTTTCCTTACATCGCTCCGCGTGCTGACAGTTGTAATGTTCAAGTGATAAACGACATTCTGTGTAGTTCAGTCCCATGGGAACTGCATCATTGAAGTACATCTCTCCTCATTAAATGCACCAATTGAGGGAGATAACGAAACCTTGGACTCGGACTGTCTATTACGCAATTTGAAGAACGGAATACTTTTTTTTTTCTTCTTCTCTCGATCTTTCATCTTCAACGCTACTCGACTGAACCTCGTCAAGCAGCCCGTCTGTGAAGCTTTCCTGGGCAACTCAAGCTTTCACCCCTACAATTGGCGGGGTCTTAATAATGATCATGGCGCCGGGGAATGGAACGACGTTGATGCCGGAAGGGGTGTGAACCAGCAGTTGGTGCCGGTGCTGCACAGCATGAAGGGCAAAAGAGTGGGGATTGTGATGTTTGACTTCTTCGGACGCCGAGAAATCTGGTGGAGACATTGCTGGGTTTGTGAGCCGGCCAGCTGGCGCCCAGCAGGAAGATCACAGTGGGAAGGGCGAGAGGGCAGATTAGGGGACGAAAAGTTTGCGCATTGTACGCTCATAAAAATTCTTATACTAATCACTAACTAGGTGGAGTACAATCATCGCTCACTGAATCACTTCCGATAGGTTTTTTCGTCCCTTCACGCTGATAGCCAGAACATCCGGAACCATCGCTCCCCAGTCTTTTTTCCGAAAACTCGATCAAAGATTCCGGAGAAACTGGCCAAACACGCCCAGAAGCACGCCAGAAAAAGATGCAAATATATACAGCCGAAGATACTTCAAACTCACTCATCCACTCATCCCCGCCTCTGACGTCTCCTCCACCTCAGGGCTCTTCTTCCACCCCTTCTTCAAACCCCGAACCACACCCTCAAACCACGGTATAAACCCCCGTGGCAGTCGCCGTCGCCTTCGCTGGCAGCGTCTGGCTTATGGCCACCGCAGCCTTGTACAGCGCCGGACCGGGTATCGTGTACGTCGACAGCGGCGCGTACAGATTGAACAGGATCCCCGGATCCGTCGCTTTCATCAGCGCCGTGCCCAGCGTTCCGCTTGTGAGTTTGTCGGTGCCGGATCCGCTGATGGCGAGACTGACGCACTGCGGGTAGTCCTGCGCCCCGTTGGCTTGGCTGGCGGAGTGAAGGCCGATGACTGCGTGGTATTGAGAAGTCAGCGGTTTTGCTTGCTTGGTTGGCGAGGGAGTTTCGAAGGTTGGGCAAGGAGAGAGGGAAAGGGGGTATGTGTGTGTATGAGGGAGGGAGAGGATGAGGTATAGAATGGGAGGACATGAGCGTCCCCCGTCTCTTCACGCACTCTCATGTCGCAGCACGTAGTTGCCCTTGGCGATGGTCGACGGGATCGTGGTGGTCCAGCTGTTGTTATTCGCCACCAGCTGGTCCGAGGCCCAGAAGCCGTTCGTCATGGCCGTCGGGCTCAGCAGGCCCACGGCCGAGATCTTCGTCCAGAGCAGCTTCGTCTTGTCGACCGTCTCGCAGGGCCCGTTGCAGTTGGCCAGGTACTCGATCACGGGGCCCTTGTGCGACGCCGGCCACGGCGTCCACTGCAGCACGATCTTCCCGCCGGCTCGCACCGGGGCGGCGGCCATGGCGTTCGTGGCGCCGACGTGGCAGATCACGTCCGCGGTGCCGAAGTTGTTCGGCGCGATGAAGCCGTTGTCGATGTCGGCTGGGATCTTCCAGCCGATGGTCACGGGCGCGGGCGTGATCCACTGGTACGAAGGGTTGTAGCCGTCGTAGCTGGGGAGCTTAGTACGTACGTATACAAGGGAGGAAAGAGAAGTTGGAGATTGGAGACGGGGACAGGTGGAGAGGGTAGAGGGGAGAGGGGAGAGAGGAGACTGACTATATCCCATCTGCCACGATCCCGGATACCGTCCCATGAGCGACGACGCTCGACACGAGGCCGAGCAGGGTGAGCTTCGAGAGCATTGCTTCTAGAGCACGGATATCGCTTCAACGCGCAGGTTCTCTGAGTTGAGTAGTAGGTTTGAAGGAGACTCGATCTCTAGCCTAGAAAATGAAATTGACACTCGGCAGCAAGACAGCAGGCAATACTTATATATATATATATATATGTATGTATGTATGTATGTATGTATGTATGTATGTATGTATGTATGTATGTATGTATTAAACATACGATACATATTGTGCCAAGCTCAACTTCCACCTGGTTTACGGAAGATCTCCATCCATCGTCCACCAATTCCTCCTCTCCTCTTCTAGAAGATCGGAACCACGCATCTCCACATCAATTACTCCAGAGAAAGATCGATAGGATACCATCCA